TCTTTATTTTCCTTCAATCTTTTGTCTCTTTTCCATCATTTTAAGCGCTTCATTAATGTACCTCCAGAAAAGAGAGTAAATGAGAGAAAGTTTTGATCTTGTTTTCGCCACCAACTAAAAGGATAAAACACTGTTTGGGCTTATATGTGTCTATAGATGAATTGTCGGTTCTTAAAAACGTAATCGATAAGTTGGTTGGCTGGTTAGGTTACCAACCTAACCTAACCAACCTGATCATGATTATTATTATCAGCATCTCTCATGAAAAAAGAAAGAAAGATAGAAAGAAAAAAAGAGACTGATAGAGAGATGGAAATGTTATTAACAACTTCTGCGCCAACTCCTATTCCAATTTCTCTTACTCATCCTCACTAGAGGTTGTCATGAATATTATGATGTGACACAGAGCAATACAAAAAAAAATAAATTCTCAACAACACTAGAAACAAAATAAAAGAAAAACTAGAAAAAGAAAAAGAAACAGAAACAGAAAACATCAACCCAAATGGAATCTTTTTTCTTCTTTTATCGTTCCAATGTTTTGGAATCAGATGAGATACACAGCGAAGCCAAAATCTTCAATTCTTTCGTTCCTGATAGATCAATTTCGCTGAAAATTTCCCAATTTCTAACATCTACTCTTTCCTCCTTTCTCTCTCTCTCTCTCTTTCTCCTTGCTAACTATTGGTTTTGATTTATCTTCTATTATACTTTTCTATTTTGTATCAGTTGGGTTGTGATTATGGGTCAAAATGCTTCACTTGAAAACATCTTTGCCCATTAGTATTAATTTATGGGTGTATATTGATTCCTTGCAATTTTGATTGGTATAAGTGTGTATGTGTTTTTGTTGATATTTTGTTTTTCTCCATCAAATACAATCTAGTTTATGATTTACTATGGAAAATATTATCAATATTAATCATATCAATGTCATTCAGTTTTTACCATTTTACTTACCTTATTAACTAATTACTGTTACGATCAGATCAATCCTACTCCTCATCCCGGGAACTATTTTAATCATAAACATTATATTTTTGCTATTTTAACCTTGATATTGATAATCGCTATCTCTCCTTTTTTTTCATTATTATCATTCACTTAATATGCTTATTTTTATTCCATTTAGTGTAGTTATTTTCTTCTACTCATTTTTCTCCCATACTACTATTTACTTTTTTTCCTTCCAATTAAGATTGTCATTTTTTCATTCATATTATATAACAACACTCTTTGACCTTCTGTCATGAATCATTTCGTATAATCTACACAGAGAGAGACTTCATCTCTCTCTCGTCATTTACCCAGAGTCAGTGACCTTGTAAAATTGACTTAACAAGCTCGAAAAAAAACAAAGAACCTAATTCAGTGATGAATTGATGGTGAAATATTTCAACAGTAATTTAATCATTATCTACTGCGAAAGAAAGTTACTGTTTCATGATTGATATCCTGAATTACTGAAAATGTGAATGATTTTTTGATGAAACTTCATTAAATAGTCTTATTAATCATGATAATCAACTTTTTTTTACACTCAAAAGCAACTTGAATAAAACTACGTCAATAAATGGTGAAAGTTTTGACAGGATTAGATTTTCTCTCATTGTTAAAATTGTTGCTCTTTAATTGTATTTATTTTATAAATTGAAATTTTTTTAAGGTTTACACGATGATTTTTATTGTTAATTGTTCAATATTAAAATTAACAATTACCCCCAAACATTATCACGGAACTAATTTATATTCATTTCTTATTCATTATTATTTTTCTTAGCTTGCTTATTGTGTTGTACAATTCCTAGAAAAAGACGCAACTTTAACCGAATCCGTGATCATGGGCTTATTGAAATATTGGCCTAAAACTTGCAGCCAAAAAGAAGTTATGTTCCTCGGCGAAATTGAGGAAATTCTTGATGTAATTGAACCTACTCAGTTCGATAAAATTCAAGAATCATTATTTAAGCAGATTGCCAAATGTGTATCGAGTCCACATTTTCAGGTAAGCAAAAAGAGAGATAACCCAAAGAGATGACGGAATTGAAACATCATGTGAAAATGTTTGTTTCATGATAACATTTATCTTTTTATTTGTCTTGGTGTCAAATATTCTGCGTATAAACAAGCAATAATCAAGATTGAGCTACAAGATAAACTATCATGAAAAGAGAGAGAGAGAGAGTGAGTGAGAAATAGTAGTAACGTTCTGAAAGCTGAGAAAGAAAAGAATATGAAATGAAGAAAAATAAAGTAGGATGAATTTTTAAGGATCTAACATTTAATGTTCGCAAGGATCAGTATTGAAACGATTAATGATTGATCGTTACTCCCGCCAACCTGATCACTTCGAACTGACATTTTGCCTCAATTATTATTCTTTTTCAAGGTTTCAATTGTTACAATCAGTTAGATCTGTTTAATTTGTCAACCTTCTCTCACTATTTGATGATATAAACACACACAAGGTAATTGATTGAATGATTTTTAATATTCAATCACAAATTGAACATCTCCAGACAACTCAAAATGTAAATAGTAAAAGAGAAATTTTTTTTTACTCTTCCTCTTTTCTTGTTGATGAAAACAATTGCTATACATCAATTGTTTTTCAATTGTTCTTTACACCATTATTATTAATTTCATTATATTGTTACCTGATCCGATAAGAATTGGAAAAAAATTTTGAATTATTTAACATTTAATGTGTGACATATCGTTTGAGGTTTTTTTCTGCCTTAAAGTTTAACGAGTGTTAGAAAACAGGTAGAGAGATGTGGTTGTGTATAATTCATTTTCTACTGTATATTTTTAATGAACAATTATCGCTCAGATTGAGGAGAATGATGTCTTGATTGTTTTTTTTCTAATTTCACCTTGTACGGTAAATTGTTATCATATAACAAAATGATTTATTTTGTTTTTTCTTCTTCTGTATTAGTAATTGAATATTTCATGAATGAATTATTAAATTTTCTTTGTTTTTCTTATTCCTTTTTCACTCTCTCTCCCTCTTTCTCTCAATAGGTTGCAGAGCGGGCTCTCTACTTCTGGCATAACGAATACATATTAAGTCTAATCGAGGAGAACTCTAACACAATAATGCCAATCATGTTTCCCGCATTATATAAGATTTCGAAGGAGCATTGGAACCAGACGATCATCGCTCTTGTATACAATGTTTTGAAGACCTTTATGGAAGTTAACTCTAAGTTATTTGACGAATTGACTGCAAATTATAGACAAGAAAGACAAAAGTGCGTGTGTTCCCACTGACCAAATTACCTTCTCTGGTTGTTATTGACTAAATTATTTCAATGTGCTCATTTCCATTTAGAGAGAAGAGAAAAGAAAAAGAAAGAGACGAGTTATGGAGGAAATTATCGGAATTGGAATTAGATGCCAAGAGTGGACCAATAGGAGACGGGAGACTTTAACCACAACATAAATATATATAAATTGTAACAAAGAAGCAAAAAGAGAGGTTGGTATTTAAATCGTTGCAATAGAAATATGAATTTATTTGTTTGTTTTTTTTCCTTTTCATTTATCATTCGAAATAAGCATATCTCTGTATAATGAGAATATAATTAATTTAAAATTGATTTTCTCTCTCTCTCTCTCTCATTTGATTGTTTTCTCAATCCATTCTAGATAATAGCTCACTCTGGTGTAAACACCGGGAAGTTTGGGCTGGGCACATTTTATGCCGTTTGAGACAATACCAACAAGCGTCCAATAGCCTTTCATGTTGATCATCAAGGGGCCGCCGGAATCACCAAAACATGCATCCTTTCCTCCTTCCTGGAAACCAGCACATAAAGACGATTCAGGAATCTTTACCTCTTTATTATACTCCGAATACGATTCTTGGCATTTGTCATACTTTATCATCGGAACTTGTGTCACTTGCAGCTTATCAGGCAATTTCTTTGTGTTTGGTTCTGTTGTGATTGAGGAAAGAGAAAAAAAAGATGAAAACGTATATAAACAAAAAGAAGGATAAATATTGAGTGTTAATACACAATAACAACAAACAGATAAAAATGAAGACTAAAAAACAATTATAAATATATAAATATTAGAAAAAAATATATATATATAAATATATGAAATCAAAATTTTAGGTTAGGGTTGCATGTCCCAATGAGTAAACGTATATATGAAAAATCAACATCCAAACAATAACAAACAGAAAAATCTTCCTCAATTGAATGAAGAGAAGTGAAAAAAAAACGTAAAAAAAACTAAATTGAATCGGTAAAAAAAATACATAAAAACCAATGAAAAAAATTTAAAACAAAAAAAAAATGTATACAAATGATAACTTATCTTACCTAGTTTTCCCCAACCGGAAACAGTTCCCATTCGTCCATAAAATAATTCATCCTCACCTGATTCCGGTAGACAAATTGGCTGAATGTTATCACCAAATTGAATGTTTTTTTGTAATTTCAACAGAGCGATATCGTGTTTAAGTGTAGATCTGTTGAAATTTGGATGAACGAATGTTTGATTAACCGAAACGGTTTGCTTGTCACTTGCATCGCCAAGAGTCACCTTAAGTGACCCAAACCAGCCTGGGGCACAATGACCTGCAGTTAAAACCCACTGTGATCCAATAATTACACCGCCGCACTTTTTAGTTGCCAAAGAGCCGAAAAATTTATACTCTGTGACTGTTGCATAAAAAGGTATTTCACCGCGTTGACTGTCCCGACCACCGACGATACGACCCGAGAAACTAAAATCAATTGGTCTCAGGCCACAAAATTGCTTAATCATATGTGTTAGTGAATTTGATGAGAATGATTGTTTGGAAGTTAATCCATTGTCAATTCGACAATCAGTGACTATGATCAACGAAAACGCGATCGAAATGAAAACACAAAATAAGTTCATAGTTTTGAGACTAGTTGAGGTTTCGAGTTGAATTAGAACTGAACAAAATCAAGTTAATGTGACCGGAATAGAATCGACAATGAATATTGTCTCGAAAAACGATTCCTTAAATACCTGGTCAACTAATGAATAAATTAATTAACAAGCTCAGGAGAAAAGGTGAACAAATTTAATCTTAAACAGTTTAGGGTTTTTACTTGGATTTTTGGTTCTTTTAAAATTTACAATGTTTTAAGAGAATAGGAAGATAATTGAATTCATATGATCGTTTAAATGAGTTAATTAATCTGTTTAGAGGTGAATTTTGCTTGAAGGGAAAAGTGCGAGCCTTAAATCCTTTAACCTGTAGTTCTGATTTTCCTTGAGTTTCTTTTAATTTTTCTTTGAATGTTTTTCTTCATCTTACTTGGTCCATGTTTGTTGCTCTGTTGACTTTTTGTTAGGCAAATAAAGCTTGTAATAGTTTGTGCTTTATTTTTCCAGTTCTATCAGCTGATGGATTGGGTCGATTGAGAAGAAATTGAAATGCATCAACTTGGTTCTTTTTCAAGTGACCTAGAGAAGAGATTAACGCAATGAAAGGTCCTCGTAAATCTTTCGGTTTCTTATGATAACCTTCTTCGCTTTTGAGTAATCCCATGTGAACTGCTAACGATTGTACTGAATCGTAGGAAGGGCTTTTGTCAATCATTGCTTTCATCAATAGATCGGCTTCTTTCAATACATTTTCTTTGACAATTCCGTTTACTTCATCAAAACCTTGGATTGTGATATTAACAAAAGTTGAACATAGTTGATCCAAAGTTGTCTCTTCGTCTTCAGCCAGTTCTCTAATCTCATCGGAAATTTTATCGGAAGTAATTTCAGATTCTGGAACTGGAGCATCGTGAGAATCTTCAAGATAATCTTCAGGGAACTCGTACTCTTCTTGTCCTCCTTCATCTTCCCTGCAAAAAAAACAACAGAAGGATTAGAAAAGTTGATAAAAAATGTTGAATTTTCTGTATATTTTCTGTATTAATTGAGAACTTACTCTAAAACCAATTTAAGCCTTTCATTCAAATCATCGGAGATAATTAAGCAATTAGACTCGCCAAAACAGTTACTACTTAGGTTTAAAGTTAGACCGGAATAGTCTTTGGAGGTATCACCGAATGTCATTGTTATCAAGTCGACAACTTCATCACCACCAATTTCGTTTCCACTAACATCTAAAAATTTTAAATTTTCAAGAATACCAGTATCTTTCATAGCATTTAGAATGTGTGAAAATCCTTCGCTTTTCAATAAACAATCGGAGAAATTAACACTTTCAAGTTGAGGTCGAGTTTCTCTCAAGGCATCAGCTATAACTTTACCACCTTCAATTGTCAAAGTATTATCATTAAGGTTCAGTATTTTTAGATTATTCTTAATAGCTTTGGACAATGCTTCAATTCCAGGCAAATGGATTCCGTTCTGAGGCATCTCAATATGTTGTAGGTTATTCATTCTAAAGAGAAACAAAAAATCCAAAAATAGAAGATGATATTAGAATAAAAAAAGAAAAAGGTGTACAAATAAAAGAATAAATTATTTTCTACCCAGAAAGTGATGCACCAATTTCTCTTGCTCCAGGATTTTCAAGACGATTTCGACCACAGATAAAAATCTCCAATTTGGTAAGATTACTCAATGCTTTTCCCAGAATTTTACCACCACCAGTGCCCAAACCGTTGTTGTTTAATCGTAAAATTTTCAAATTTTCACAAGATTCACTTTCAAGAAAAGGTGCCAAGGATTCCATACCAATAGGACCAAAAGCGTTGTCACTAAGATCTAATTCAACCAAACGGGCATTTGACATTTGAATACCAACCATAAGGGATCTTACAGCATGAGGCACCTCAGTTTTAAGTCTACCGGTGAAAATATCTTTCAAAATGGCTTGATTGAGATGTCTGGTGTTTGTTAGAGCTTGTGAAATTGCTTCAGCAGCTTCAACACCCAGAGTATTTCCTTCAAGATTAAAGTAAGTAAGATTAGGAGCATCTCGGATAGCGGTAACAATGGGATCAGCATCATGATGTGAATCCAATTTCATCGCAGCTCCAGCAAAGGTAACCTTAACTTCTGGTTCATTCTCAATATTTTGGTCATCCAATTGATTGGCCAAATTGTCAACAGTATCATTCATTGTTGGAGGCATAGATAGTTCACTTTAAATTATTTATTTAAAAAAAACAAAATAAAGGAAACAGACACACACATAAAACAAGCGGTAAGGAGAGAGAGAGAGAGTAAGCAAAAGAAACAGTTATAAAAATTGAATGGAATTACAACAAACTGATAGCCGGTAATTAGTCAACAAACCGTTCCAATGGTTAGTTAAACAAATGGAATAGAAATTAAAAAATTAACAATCAAGGTTAAACCAGAAAATGGATCACAAATTACCAAACAATAAGTAACATAAATTGTGAGTTTATTGTTTGTCTTTAAATTGGTAATAAAAATGCGCCAAGAATAAAATCTTCGATAGTATCGATACTATCGAAGAATATTGATTGTGCTATCGATTAATCGAGTTAATTTCGTTCATTGTTCAATTGGAAACAATTTAATTTAATTAACTCTAATTGAATTTTATTTTTGTTTCTTCCTGTTTTCTTAATTGATTTGGTTATTTCAATCAATTGGTCAATTTTACTGGTGACAGAAATTTAAATTGTTTTCTTAGTTTCTTTATGTTTCTAATTGCAAAAAAGAAACTAAAACATATAATTTGAGAGATTCAATGAACTGATATTGTTTTGATTGCTGCGGGTAAATCAATTATTATTTATCAATAATTAACGTCTATTAGTGATGGTAATCGGTTTCTTTTTTGATTGTTGAGGATGGCCTGAGACTGAATTGATACAATTGGATTGAAGTAAATGGTGTTTATAATCAATTGATTTGAAAAGATTAATCTTTTACCCTTTGTTATTAGTCAGCTGATGATCTTGTTACTTTTTGGTGGTTTTGGTTTTATCATCTTTACCAATCAAAGTGTTTAAACAATAATTTAAATTGTTTGTGATGATGAGGGTGATAATCAGCAAATTATATGCTAATTGCGCTCAAATTTATTGACCTCTTGTGTTTGTTTTGTGTGACAGATAAACAAACAGACAGACACACACACAGAATAACATGTAAGTAACAATGACACTTCCCATCTTATTTTGTTTATTTATCTTTAATCAACTTTTCTTATTTATTCTTTTCTTAATCAACAAGATCAAACCAAATGATAAAATAATGAATGGGAAGAAGACGAAGGAATTTCACTAAAATGAACCCGTAATGATGGAAAACGGAATGGAAATGAAACAAAATTCTGTTGACGAAGATGGATGAGAGATAGAAATTAACTGACAAAAATTCATCAGATTATGATAAACAAATTGTTTGGATTTCCTGTCATTTATACAAAGAAAAACTTCAATAATAATGAAGTGGATTAACTTTCCCAAAATGATAATCAACCCAAGTGAAAGTACAAACAACAACAATCAACAAGAGAATGAGTTATATTACATATAATCAATCCAATCACCATGATGATCATGACGGTTACAACTAATACAAGATAATTGTGAATTTGAAAGGTTTAATTGTAATGACAATTACAAATTAGAAAATGATCATCTTAAGATTATAATTTAATGACAACAATTTGTTGATTACTTTTCTTTTCTCATAATCAATTTGTCAGGTTAAACCTATTTCATCATTGACAAAACATGTTTAACACTCAACTTATTATTTTGGTAACAATCAAATTATACATTATGATGATTATCATGATGATGATTGATTAAAAATGATTGTTGAGAATCAAACTCATCATCACAATCAACTTCTCATAACTTTCAATGGTAACAATTTAACAATCAAAAAATAGTGAATCATCTAATGATTATCCCTAATCATTAAATTAAATTGAGTTAAAAATACTTGATTCATTTTTAAATTGAAACAAATTTAACTGATTAAAACTGACATGATGATTGTGATTATCGTTGATAATTAGTCTTCTAATTTCAATGGTCAATCTGTTTTTTCACCAAACTGATTTAGTTGGGTTGACCTAAATTATTGTTATAATTTAGAGATTGTTTATTCTTGATTAAATTGTTACTTTTTCGACTTGAGTTGATTGTAAATTAACTAATAACAATAAACGAATGAGAAGAAGATGATTAAAACTATTTGCACGATTTAATTAGACGATGATTATTAAGATAAGTGTATATTTTAATCGTTAATTGTGAGTAGAAAAATTAAGAAAAAAAGTCAAAAGGAAACAATTAACGATAAACATTAGTCAAATTGCCGAGATGAAACAACAAGAATTGAAATGATTAACTAATTAAAACGATTTTTAAATGATTTACTTGGATACTTAGACTAAATTAATTGTTAATTTAACTATCGCATGTATAGTTAATTATTTAACCAATGATAGTGAACGGAAACAATTAATTTACCAAAGTAAAAATCAATGGTAATCATGATTAACAAAATTAAACTAATAATAATTAGATTAACAATTGAGTTGAGTTTATACAAATTTCAGATTTTGATTTAGTTTTAATTGTTTTCAATTTAAATGTTGATTACAAAGTGTAAACATCACAATCAAATTTAATGAAGTTGCTGAGATAATTAACTAATATTTAATGATTATTAATCTACTTTAATCAAAATAAGAGTTTTAATTGTCGTTTTTTTTTTCGAGAGAAAAAATTTTCGTTCTAAAACTTTTTGGTCAGTTCGAGATTCTCGAGATGGTCAATTGAAGATAAACTATTTTTTATCTTCTTCTCAATCATACTAATTGTCGTAATCTGTTTATTATTATTGTATTTAATTCTGACAATATACACTAATCATCACAATCTATCGAGATGATTAGTTAACTACAAGGTCAAATGGTCAATCGTAATTAGGAAACAATTTACTGGACACAATGAGAGACAAGAAAAACAAATCAAATGGCTGAAAAGCTTAATTGTTCACAGTGATTAAGACTAATTGAATAAATGAAATAAATTTCAAGTCCATACAATCAGTTGATTATCAATGTTGATGATCAATTATTGTGTTGATCATTTTTTAGTTACAATGATTGATTATAATAATTAATTGTCTCTTGTTAATGTGCTAGTGATTAATGGATTAGTTTGATAATTAAGATTATTGTTTCCATTTTGTTTTCGCAATTGTTTGATTGTTTGAAAGTGAAGATGATCAACAAATTTAATTATCTATTCAATGGTCACGCTTTTTAATTGTAATTAATAGTTGTTAAGTTGTTAACATTTGATTCATTGATTTAAACAAATTGTTGTTATAATTTTCAATTTGCTCAATCAACAAACAACACGAATGATTAAAATTTATAATTTTATAATTGATTAACATAATCAGTCAATTGTTACAATTACCTAATGATAAATATTAAGATGTAAACTCTTAATTGTTTGGTAATGTTGATTACCTTTGATTATCATCATCATCATGATAATAATTATAATTGAAATATCATTGGTTTTAATTCATTGATTGTAATAATACTTTAATTCATTGAGTAATTAAATCACTTTCTTATTAGTGATTAACTTTATTCACTAAACTGATTTAATGACGATTACAATTGTAATTCAGTCATGTTTACATTTGGATTATGATTAATGATTTAATTTATAAACAATAAGGAAATTGTTGCTCAGATTTTTTGATTGAGAAAACGTTGTTAATGTTAACTAATCATTCATTTAATTGTTAAATTTTAATTTTAAGGTAAAATGAATAATTTAATTCACCAGATTAACACGGTTACAACAATCCTTGTATTCCTCAGTAATCAAGGTGAACTTTTTAATTACGAAAACTAATCACTACCAATGATTAATTGTTAACTCTAAAAACAAACACAATCCAACGGCAAAACCCAAACAATTTAAAATTCAAATTTAAACCAATTGACAATCAATGAAATCATCAACCAATTAGATCCAATAGAAAGTCAATCACTTGGTAATAGATTTTCAATCATATTGATTGAGGTAAATTGTTACAAGTTGAACGATTTCAGGTTAGAAATTAATTCTTTGTATTGTATAATCAATATAATTCTCATTGGTGTTTAAAGCTTGATTAGTACCTAATTAGAAATTGAAATGTTTGATTGTTGTGATAAAATGTCTGATAAAATCAATGGATTATGTGAACAATTGGAAAATCTTAAATTGAATTTAAGTGATTGTGATAATCCTGGACCAAGAGGATCTAATAAGACCAACATCAGTCCACTGGACAATAACAAGACCATTGGTGATCATTTTTGTGAATTTACAATCAATGAGATGATTAAAAACTTCAGTCAATTCACAAATGATGTGAAAGAAATCAAAACAACCCAAACAGCGATCATGTTAATTGTGTCCCAGTTATTGAATCGAATGACAAAATTAGAGTCACATTTCGTCGAAGAGCAAAAAGTTGAGGTCAAAAAAGTACCGAAACGAAGGCAAAGTAAACAACACCAAGAACAACCACAACCACAACCACAGGAACAACAACAGTCCGAAGAAAAGGAAAACATCCAAGAAACGAAAATCAAAACAGAGGTAAGTCAATCATCGATTTTATGTCATTCGAATGTACAAAAACGATCTCTTTTACAGAAAGTGGCCTTAAGAAGGAAATCTGGCCGCGGTCCGCTCTCCAATGTTTCGATTATTAATAACACGACTCTTAGCCCTTGTATTGAAGAAAAGGACACCTCATGTACTATTCTCTATGATAGAAATGCATCAATTTCAACTTCGATGACCTTAAGGCCACTAAATCGTCGAACGGACTATCGTTCGTTTTGTTAATCATCATATTTTCATCAATTGTTTATCATCTTTTAATCAACTATCTCTTTTTTTATTAACATGTTACTGGTCATCTGCTTATTGACCAACTAAGATTTTTAATCAAAAATAATTTTCAACTATTTTGAATTATTGTAATTTCGTGATCATCAAGATGAACTTATTTTTGTTGAATTGTTTTAATTGTTGGTTAATCATTGAAAGTTATCATCACCAATATACAATTAAATCATTGGATACTAATCATTTAGATTTAATTTTTTGATTTCTCATTTTTCCTTCAATTTGGATACAAAGTATATCTTTTTTGTTTCTCCAACCCATTAAAACAATTACAATTTAATTACTCCGGTATAGAAAATACATTCGTAAATTATGCTAATCAATTAATTGCGAACATCACAATTAACTAACCATTTGAAGGATTTGCAAGGTAATTAAACAAAAAGAGAAGTGATTTACCTGCAAACGAAGCAATTGAACCCAAGGAATTTGATATTATTCTTGAATTCGAATCAGGAAAAAAAATATCAAATGGAAACAACGATGAGGTAGAAACGAAAAACTCTCTTCGAACTTGTAACTGGTTCTAATTATGCAAAATTATTATCGAAATTTGTGGCTTACAATTTACGCTTAAAGGTACATTTAGATTTTGATTACGATCAACTAATCACTAAACTTAACCAGCAACTCGAAAACAATCAACTTGAGATTCACAATTGAAAGTCTATCACGTTTAAAATAAATTCACTTTCACTTATGGTTTACCTTGGATCTCAATCTACTAGTTTCATCTCATGCATTTAACCTGAAAACCAAAATCTTAATCGTAACTGGATTAAGTTAATCATGGAGCCAATTAAATTCACAATTTGAGTACAATTAAAATTTTTGATGGACCAAAAATGATGATGGTCATTTCAATTTAATACTTGATTACTGTTGACTTTGAAACAAAAAGTAACCAATAAACTGACCAATATGATAATTAATGTTAATCATTCACTGATTATCAAATTAATTTTGATTAATTATTAATTTTAAATGCTCTCAAGGCTCAAACTGATTGTTTACCAATATTAATCGTTGATTTTAAATAAAATAAATAAATCAAATTGATACAACTTTATAACCTCTGGTCAGTTTTGATTATCATTCAATTTATTGTGTCGGTATTTTTTTAATTAAATGCTAATTTAATATTAATTGTGATTAAATTATCAACAATTATGACCTATAACTTTGACTATCAAAGTTTAATAAGATGATAAAATTGATGAAGAAACTTTTTGATTGCTTACAATTAGAAAATTACATTTTTATTTGTCATTAATATCAATCAACAATTAGAGTATTTAAATCATGATGATTATCTGACAACCATTAAGAAGATATCAAAGTGTTAATCAAATTAATTGTCTGACTTGACATCCATAAATTTAATCAGCTTTTGATTGTTGATTGAAAAGTAAAGGAAAATTAATATTGACCATCGATAATGACTGGACATTGATAATGAAAAAAAAAATAGAGAGGAAAACAAAGGAAACTCTTTCTTTTTCACTTTCTTTTCCACTAATTGTGATTAGGTCAACTGATTAACTATTGTAACTCAATAATTAACTATAAAGTAATAAATTAAAACATTTCAAATGATGTTTTGGTTTGTACATCACAATCGTGATGATCAATTCAATTTCAATTTCAATTTAAATTTTCATTTGATGTTTATTATTTTTGAGAAAAAAAATCATCAAGATTAAGGAGGAGATGATGATAATGAAGACAAAGATGAGGATGAAGATGAAGATGAAGAGGAATTCATTGTTCTTGATCAAAGTTATCAAATAAATTAAGTTGTATCATTTTCGTTTGGGGGAAATGATTAAAATCTAACGGTAACATGAATTGAGAAACGGATCAAGATTGAAATTTTCAAGGAATCAACAACAATCAAATTAATATCGTTATAATCAACGAAATGATGATAATTACAATAAACTAATCATCATAATGATAATGTGACCTTTCAATATTATTCAATTTTTCTCTTTCTTTTTCTCTTTCTTTTTCTTGGAAGTTCTGAATAATCGAAGAGAAAAATTTTAAAGAAAATGTTTCATCTCTCTTTCTTTGATTTTTCTTATTCTTCAAGCTTCTTGGTGAAATATCATGTTACTCAGAATGAAAATTCTCTCTCTCTCTCTCTCTCTTCTCATCTCATCACTTTCTCTTCTTCCATTCATGTTAATCCTTCGAAAATCGTGATCATCTTTTTCACCTTTGTCTTCATCATGTTTTTCTCCATTTAAGCCAAACCCTTTTCTCATCATCTTCTTTCTTTCCTCCATTACTCATCTTCCTGAGCTGACCACTACCAACACCACCTTCTCCTCCTCCTCCTCCTCCACCACCACGACCATTAATCTCTTCCTTCTCATCTTGATCATCTTCTTTACTTCCATGTAATCGCCATGAATCCCTTTCTTTTGAAAAGCCGAAAGACAAATCGAAAGTAAAATGTTTCCCTCTTTTTGGACGGACGATCGCAAATGAGGCAAAAGTGCTCATCCCACTTCACCAACATCGACTAGATATTTATCCATCTAATATATAAACTGAACGTATAAAAAGTAGTTGACCATTAGAAAGTAAATTAGAATATCAAAGTGAATTCGTTGTGATCAAATCAAACAAAGTAAACGGGATTAACCATCAACAAAGCGTTTCAATTACAATTATTGTTTAACTTTTTGTGCCATAAGAATCATTAATTGTGGAATAATCAATTGTGCAGTTAATTACCTGTCCATCTAATTTACAATGAGTATCAAGCATCTTATCATTTTTGCCGCTTTTGGATTGACCCTCGTTTTGGCCGTTTCATTGAAAAGGGTATCTTATTATTCATCCTAATTGTTTCGTATCTTCGATCAATAATTGATTAATTAATTGTTCTATTCTTCTATCATTGAATCTAAACAGGCTAAACGTGCTGCCTACGAATTACCTGATGGAATTGAATTCTATATTGGTGACATTCGAACTACTTTCCAATGTCCAGGCGCCGGTTTCTATGCTGATGTCGACAATAATTGTCAATTGTTTCACATTTGTGCAAGAAATGAATTCCCCAATGGAAAAGTAGTAAGTAGAAACAATTAGCAAATCGTAACAATCAACTAACTATAGATTTTACTATTGATTGTCATCTTTTGATGCTTTTTGTTATTTGTTAACCATCAGTTCAGTGATTAAGTCGAGTTATTTTTACAACAATTAACCTAGTAAATTGTCAGTGGTTTAATTGTGTCCTGATTAGTATTTTAGTATTTAATTGTTGAGTTAATTATATTTAGATGATAATTTGTTTGCACAAGTGATAAAAACTGATTATCGTCACGAGAGATTCAGTTAATTAAAATGTTGAGCATCCGGATTTAATTGTGATAACAATTCACAACCAACAATTAATTTTTTTGCAAATCTAATATCATAAAATAATCAGTAACTTGATTAACAAAAAATAAGTAATATAAACAATTTAAATCATCATGTTAATCAGAATCTTCATCCGGTCAACATTTTCATCTCATCATAAACCTTTAAATATACATTCATCATTTTGAGCATTTAAATTAACCGTTTGCAAATTAATTCAGTTTCAATTGTTGATTAAATTTTTACCTGATGTTGATTATTAACCAAAACTATGATTAGATGATGATTAATCATTGCAATAGCCGTTGGTCAGTCACGTTACAATAGTTTCAACAATCTCATTGAGAATCAAACTGTTAATCATAAACAAATTGAGTTGATTGTTAATTTGAATAATGATTAATTTGATTCTCGAGAAAATTGTTGTACAATATTAAATTCATTGAATTCATGACAATTATAATTAGCTTCATATTTTGATTAACTGATTGTTATCAAATAGATTCTGTAATTATCTCGATTACCTGAATCAAGAGTTAATTAATACTTAAGTTAATTTGTATTCAGATTATATTGTAAACACTTAATTGAATTGATTATGATTGTTTCTGTGATTGATATTATTATTTACCAATCAATCAATAGACTTTAATTACTTGTGATTGACTAGATTTATTTATTAATCGTTGAAAATTAATTAATAACTTTTACTTGTACATTTTGATTGATAAGTTGTATTATTATTATTTAACTGTCAACAAGATTGTTGATGATTAACTATTGTATTGTTTAGATTGATTAAGCCAACAATTAACTCGGAAACTATTCAAATCCACTTATTATCATCTTAATCATTAAATGATAATGATGATAAATTATTTTTCATCTTACACCAACAATTTAATCTTGATGATTTAATTCATTGATCAGGAAATCACAACAAACAAACAAACAAACAAATTAACTTGAAAACATTTGAACCCTTGATTTTTTGTTGATCATTTTCATTTAATTGTCATTTAATATGATTTGTTTTCTAATTGTTATTGTTGATTGTGAAAGGATTAAGTTAATCATTTCAAAAGATAAACAAAAACATGATAAAAACTTTAATTGTCCTTCAAATCTTCAACTTAATTGTTAATAAAATCATTTTGTTCCTGGTTTAACTTTTCATTCCTGCAAATTATCAAACATCAAATGATAATAATAATATCAAGATGATTCATTTTCAGGACAATTATCATCAGCTTTTGATTGTTATCATTGATACAATTTAAATTGTGTCTCTTTCAATGATTATCTTGTTTACCGTTATAATTTAATCACGAGTTTCAACCTCACGCCCTGACCCAAGGAAGTGAGAGCAACAGGTAGACGAAAACACGGTGATGTTAATGAGGGAAAAAATATTGAAGAGAAAAAGATGAGAAGAAGATGAGAAGATGATGATGATGATGATAATCTCGAATTTGTGATCTAAGTGAAAGTCACGCAAACATTTACTTTAGAACAAAAGTTTTCAACAGTTAGGGGAACGCCTTTTGTTTGGAGAGAAACTTTTTCGAAAACAATGAGAAGAAAAATTCATTCAGAAAATTCAGATCATCATCATGTTCATCATCCTAATTAGTCTCATCATCATCATCTTCCAATCTGTTGTTGTAATTACACCTTTTTCTTTTGATTGTGTTACTGATACAATGATCGTAGTTAATTGTAAAACTTATTTCGAATTGATAATCAGTGAGAATTTTCGTTAATCGAATTTTTTTCAAATTCGTTTTTTTCTCATTCTCAGGAAATGGCTCATTACACCTTCGCTTGTGGTAACCAAACCGTCTTCAGTCAATATTCAATGACCTGCGCTCATCCATCGGAAGCGATTCCATGTTCGTCATCACCTGATTTCTATTATCTCAATGAACTCCTTGGACTTTCCGATCAACCTTTACACCGACAAGAGGATGTCGACCGAGCTGCTCCTTATTTCGGTGCTCGAAGACAAAAATAATCTAATGAATTAATTAATTACGAAATTAATATCTTTCTCTCTCTCTCTCATTATCTTTCAAAGTAAATTTGTTGTTTATATTTTTCTTTCATATTCTTCATTCAATTTATGATGGACATCCAAAGATGACCAAAGGATTAACTCTATAATCCACCATCGTCATTTATCATCATCATCATTTTTCTTATTATAAAGTAAACTAACAAATCGTCTTGTCATTAACAATCTCGTCCTTAGCCTTAATTGTCAATCTCAAATCATCAATTTAAATTAGATTTTTTTTTCTTATTTCCCCAAATTATACTTAAGTTCAATTTCTTCATTAGTCTCTCAATTAAATATATTATATTGTTCAACATCAATTGTCTAATAGAAATTAATTTCTATTCTAATTAAAGTGTAACGGTTAATTTGGATAAACATGAATCTGTCCTCATCAATTTCTAGTATAGAATCATATGAGTTGATCTCCTTTTTATCCAATTAATCGAGAAACTTTATCTGTTGAGCAATTAAAATGTTCAGTGTTGTTTTACAAATTAACTGCAATTCCATAAATGGTTTTGTTGACATATTAATCTTTACCATAATTGTCTTGTTTTATCCGATCTGATTAATTTTCTATGATGATTAAATTTATCTTGATAATCAAATCCTTTGATTGAAATAAAGTTTATCTACCAACGTCATCTAATGAGATAAAAAGAAAAGAAAATTAAAACTTTAAAATGAGTTACACTAGATGGCTCTGAGATTTATCAACGATGTGACTTCATGACTGACTAAACGCTTGACGATCGAGTTGATTGTTAATTAACTTGCTTTCCAATGTAAATTTTGCCAGGTAATATTGATGATTAATTATGAAAACCATAATCATAAGGACAATAATCTTTTGTGATTATTATTTCTTGTTGAATAACTGTTATCACATTTCGATAAAAGATTTTTATCTTCCCATGAATAATACAAATTGGTCCCAACGAGACTTATTTGGTCTAAAATTGTCCAGAGATTATCAGTTAATTAGCCGGGGACGATTATTTTTAGAACATCTAACTGGTGTGTAACTGTTGTTCATGATACAATGTTATGTATTCAAATTTAGACGCAAGGAGAAACTCTAGGAAAACCTACTAAGTAGATTTATAATGAATTCTGTTCTCAATATACTCTCTCTCTCTCTCTCTCTCTACTTCTCTCTCCTGGTTTGAAGAGAAAAATTCATGTGTCATCCTGTTGTCATTGACGAAGAGAAATCAATTAACCAATAAATAAATTAAGCCTGAAAAAAAAGAGATAGAGAGAGAAAGTTAGAATAATAATTGACTAAAAGATTCCCGTTTACCTGTGACACTGAAAAACAAACTGAAACCAAAAATCATAATCTTCATCATCTGTAGTAAATTAATGAATAACACCAATGGATAAGATTAATCCTTTTCCACTTCCTTGCATAGCTAAAATAATACAAAAGTGAAACACCCATTAAAACGATTACAGTTACTTTTGTGAGGAGGGAGGATGATGATGATGATGAGAAAGAGAGACTATAATTAGAGAAAGAGAGGGAGATAGAGAGAGAGAGAGAGAGATACACGATCTACCAAATACAAAATTGGCAAAAGGAAGAATTTAAAAAAGAAAAAAAAAATGTTACTAAAAACAAGAAATGATATTTTTAAAAATGCGAGAAAGACAGAGATGAAGATGATGAGAGGGAAAGAGAGAAGATGAACCACAAAAAAACTCAAAAGAAAGAAAGAAAAGAGAGAAAGAAGATGAAGAAAAGAAAGAAAAACATTACATCACTTGAGAGAAGATGAGGATGAATTTTGTTCTCCCTTTAGAAAGAGAAGAAGAAAAGAGAAAAGAAACCGGTTTGTTCCGGATGTGACGCGACGAATATCACGTGACCCGCACTGCGCATGCGCAGAACAGACCCGGTGTCAGATTAATTTTCACACCGATTTTTTTATCTCTCTCTCATTTCTTGTCTATTTTCCTCAGGTAATAAGTTTAAATATAAGTTCTCAACCTTTTTTTTTCTACTATTATTATTATTAGTGTTTAAACTATTATTATTATAATTATTTAGTATTATTTACCATCAATCGTTGGGAAGAAAATTAAATTGTACATCAATTTACCATTGTATCTTTTTTTCCTTCTTTTTCTTTTCTTTTTTCTTTTCTCTTTTACATCCTTTGTAAAACCATCATCTTAACATCATGTCCTCTGGAGTAACTGTATCCACGGAAGCTAAAACCGTTTATGAAGAAGTGAAAAAAGATAGGAAATACCGATTCATAATCTACCATATTAAGGATGAAAGAGTAATTACTGTTTTGTTCCTTCTCTTGTTTTTTCTCTGTTCCGTTTGTGTGTCCCTTTTCTGATCAATTTTCTTCGCATCTAAAACATAAAGTCATCTCTCTCTCTCTCTCTCTATCTCTCTATTTGTAGTCTCTCTCTTTTTCTGTTGTCTTTATAACTTCATCTTTTTCTCATGGTGAGAAATAATTTTTTTTCTACCTCTCCATCGCTAAACATTTTACCAGAACCTAAAAATCTTTGGAACAAATTTCAATTGCTTTTTAGCTGCTACATTTTTTCTTTTCACTCTCTCTTCCCTTTTTTTCTTCCTTCTTTCTTCTCTTACTTGAAATCTCTGTCTGTCTGGCAATGCTCTCTTTCTTTTCTCTTTCTTTTTTTCCTCCTCTCATATTTTACCTTCTCTCTCTCCTCTGTTATTCCTCTTTCTTTTTAGTCTCTGCCTTTTCTCTGTCTCTTTTTCTTGCATTTTTAGAAACCTCTCCTTTTTTTTAAATCCCTTCGGTAATAATTTAAATCTATCAATCTTCACTCTCACCCCTGACCTTGATTCACCTTGTCACATTTTAAATAGTTTCTCTTTTCATCCATGATGATTCACCCCTTTCTGCAAACTCTTTTCATTTCATGTCTATTCGAATCATCCTATCATTTAACTTTCTTTCTCTTCTCTTTTTTACTCTTTCTCTCTCCTTCCACCCTTTTTGCCTCTCTCTTGATATCTCTCTTTTTATCTTCCAACATTTTTTTCTCTTCTGCAATGGATCATTCAAACCCTATCATTATCTAACATCTCGTTTTCTCTTTCTATTTTTCTGCCCATATTAGGTGATTGATGTAGAATCAACAGGACCTCGGGATGCAACTTATGCTGATTTTCTAGAAGAGTTAAATAAATTCAAAACAGAATGTCGATACTGTGTATTCGATTTCCCGGCCAATATTCCTGTCGAGGGTTCGCAGGATACATCAAGTATGAGTGTCAACAGACTCATACTCATGAGATGGTAACGTTACTTTATTCTAAGTGTTCTTTGAATGATCCGGTTTTTCTAGTCCTATCTAGCAAGGATGTTCTATCCAATTGATAATCAATTTCCATACTCATTTAACTAATTCAATTTTTTATTGTTTTTTTTTCTCTATTTCTCTTCCGTTTCTCTTTTTCCGTTCTGGTTGCCACACCATCTCTCATCAAAATTTTGTTCTCTAACATGTTCACAATCATTGATAATCTACCGGTATCATCTCTCTCTCTCTCTCTCTCATTTTTCTCGCTGCTTATTTTTACTACTAAATGTGGATTTGATCAAACATTAACGCCCATAATTGGATATAATGGCTTTTGGAAACGGAATTTTACTCAACTCTAAATTGACTCATGTTTCAATAATATGACTTCATCCGGATATGAATAAATTTCCAACATGACCTTTAAACAGGTGCCCAGAGGGAGCCAGAGTTAAACAAAAGATGTTGTACTCAAGTAGTTACGAAGCTCTCAAAAGAGCACTAGTTGGAATTTACAAATACATTCAAGCTTGTGAATTCGAGGAGGCCAGTCAAGCAGCCATTGATGATGCCTTCAGGAAGAGCGGAGGAAAATAGTTCTACAAACGACACAAAGCATAAGAAACCTTCCCCTTCTCCTTTTAAAACTTCTCTATACCTTTTTTTCTCGTTCTCTCTTTATCTATCTCTCTATCTCTCTCGCTCTTTTTCTCTTACAAAGCAAAAGCCCTCCTTATGGAATTTCTCTCTTATCTTCTCTTTCTCTTACCAAAATCCTGCTTTTCTTTCTCTTTCGCTCTATCTCTCTCTCTCACACACACACACATACACACAACATACACTCTTCTCTCTTTAAACAATTAAAAATCAACACTAATGGTTGATCCAAGTAAATTTTAAACTTTACTCAAAAGCTGTCAAAGTTGTACACGAAGATCAATATAAAATCAACCGGAAACAAAGAAAAGGAACAAAAAAAACTAATTCTGATTGTGACAGAACAAAAACCTTAAACCAATCGGAGGAAAATGTTCATTTACATCTAATCATCTTCACAATTAACGAAAGAAATTTACAGAGAACCGAAAATTTCATGGTTTAAATTAACACCAATTCTCCAATTAACCCAAATCCTCTCAACAATTATGCTGATTTTTTCCTTCTCTCCATGATTGGGATTCACAATTAAACAACAAAAACCATTTTATTGTGAATTAATATCATTTTTCAACCAATCTCTATTGCTCATCAACATTGAAGGTCAACTAATCCTTGTTGACATTTAATTAAACAACAAAACAATTTACTAATCAATTTCAAGCCGCATGTCAACCCCAGTCTCTCCTTTTTAGGCTATTTAATGGTCCAATTATCCTGATTACAATTAGATTACAATCTTACTCATTTTCATAATCATCACTTGAAGTGTTTGTGCCTCCGTCTCTGTCTCTGATTGATCAAACACCGATTGTTTAATTAGATATTTAATCAACTATAATCATGATTACCTCATAATCATCGTAATTAACAGTTGCACCTCGTCTATTCAATTTATTTACTTATTGGACAATTTAATTGCTCGAGAAAAGATTATTTCCATTTCTGATGAAAATTTAATTCTAATTACAATATTAATTCTGATAATCAAAGTGATGAACAAAAATCCGATCAAACTAACCACTTAAATTTTTGCAAAAATTCAGTTAATTAGTCCCAAGACTCTGGTGATTAAAAAAAAGACTAAATTTCAATCATCAATCAGATGAATTGAAAAAGGTTAACTTGTCACAATCAACAAATCTTATAAGTTGATACAATTAAACCAATTGTAAACCTAATTAATAACTTTTTCAATTGTTTTCTAATGTTTCAATAGATAATTCATTTGATTAGATTGCAATCAATTTAATTCGCGATTCTTGTTACATGTAATTCAATTTTGAATCGTCAAATTTTTTCAAATTTGAATGATTAATTAATTTTCCTCGTTTGATTGTAAATGTGTAACAAAACAATCAGTTAATCACTGCAGAAAATGAAACTTGCAGCAATAATATTATTTTTCCGTCGGCTAATTACCAACAATTAAGGAAAACAAAAAGCAAATCAATGAAAAAACTGTTTACAATGTGAACAATTTAACTTAGTTAAGAAGAAAGAAAATTTTGATTACTCAAAATCAGAAACAGAATTTTAATCAAATTTAATTCAATTGAAAGTTTCATGATGATGATAATTAAAGAGGATAATCAAAGTGATACCTTTCAAATGACCCATCATGGTGAAAACGATCATTCGAAAGGGTTGAAATTAATCAATTATAATTCTCAAAACGATCTGAGCTTGAAGCAAAATTATTAATTTTCATTTTTTAGGCCAATTAGATGAGATTTAATCCTAATTAAAACTTAAAAATCTTCCAAATTTAATGTTACCATAACCATGGAACATTTTGAAATAATTTAACAAATTTTCCTCCTTCTTTCTCAGTCTCGATCTTTTATCTCATAAAATATTAATAGTTTTTCTAATTCTCTAATTGAATTCTTCTTTACTCTTTGGATGGAGTTAGTGATGTGCGATCATTGGATTTGCCAATAATCGATTGTGACGCAATAATTTTTACCAAAATCGATGATCATCGATATTTTGTCGAAAGAGAAAAAGACAAAGGGAAAAGTTCAGTAGAAAAAGAAAGAGAAAAAGAAAGAGGCTAAAAAATCGATGTTTAATTTTAAATCATCGACATCGAAATTTCCGACGATCATCGATGATTTCGATGATCACAAACATCACTAGATGGAGTAAACGATCAGCTGAATATTAGATTACCTCATTTTTTTTGTATTCATCATTTTTTTCACTTTATTTTGTTGGTTATTTTATTTGGATTAATCTATTTGTGTATTTTTTTTCTTTCATTTGTAATGATTTCTTCTGCTACCAAATATAATCACAACTTTCTTTTCATCATTTGCAACCAGTTAACATTTTCTCATGTTCTCTCTTTTTCTACCCACCTGATTTAAGATCTTCTATCAACAACAACACATCTCATAAATTTCTGTCATTTGGTCGCTGATGTTATTAAACTAAATTAAGTGATGTGATTCGAAGAAAAATGGACCTGATAAGTGACTCAATTTGCGTAATCAATTTACAGTTCAAATCTATAGTATTCTAAAGGATCTTGGAGTTTAATTAGAATCTACAGTTATTCAGTAACCCCTTTTTTTGTAGTGTATACAAATATGAACATTGTCAGGAAATCAGGAACCAAGACCAATGATAACATGAGACCTTTATCTGAGGGCGAAGTTTGTGCCATGGAAAATGCCCCGCCCTTATTATCAATTGGTAATCGGATTGTATGGTTAAGTGACAATGGCCCAGAATTTGGTTATATCAAATGGCTTGGTAAACTACCCGATGTAGGCTCAGATTGGATGGCTGGAGTTCATTTTGATAATCCTGTTGGTTCTGGGACAGGAATTTACAATGATCATCAACTTTTCGAGGCTCCTGTTTATCATGCATCTCTAGTGCCAGTGATTGGGTTACTCAGAGCAGAAGATTTTCTTGGTGGTGGTCCATCATCATCATCAGCCGATAATCATCACCTTGTGTCCACTTCAAAATCCTTACCTTCTTCATCTATGGCTGGAATTAGTGACCTTCCCCTCAAACCAAGACGAAATAAACGGAAACCAGGAATTGATGATAAACCAGATTGTATTCTAACTAATGATCTGAACACTTCCGGTGATGCTATTGATTCAAGTGGAACATCACCTCGAACCACTGAATCGAGTAAATCTTATACTGATCAACACATTACCTTATCATCGTCAACTGCCACTGGCTCAGCAACAACATCAACCTACTCACCACCTCCACCTCCATCAGTTCGGAGTCACAATTCATATGTTAACCATTTAAATCATGTGAACTTATTCAACTCAAAGTCTGATTCTAATTCAGATTCTAGAATAGGTAAGTTATAACATCTCTCTCTCTCTCTCTCTCTCTCTCTTACAAATACCCTCAAAGACCGTTCAATCAACTGTCTACATCGATAAGACTATTATTAGTTCACATTAATTGTAAATAATAATTGTGGATAAAAAAAATAATCACAACAATCAACCTTTTCATTAAAATAGTTTGAAAAGGTTTCCCATCAAAGTGAAAACAACTCAACCACCACTGAACTGTTCAGAATTTAGAAGTAAATTTCACTTGATTACAATCAACTGTCTGAACATTTAAACAGTATTGATTGTTGACATAGCTGATTTCGATTCATTGTCTCTAATTGTGGATGTTAAAAAAACTACAGTAGTTTAAAGGAAATGTTATTTATAGATTCCAAGAATTTACATGATTACTATTAATATAACTCTTTTCTGATTCAATTTTTAACACCATGATGATGATTTCCACCATCTTATGTCATCATAATTTTTTTAATCATGTTGTTGGCAATTAACTAACTTAACAATCATAAAATACAGTTTTGGGACATAATCATAATTACAATTTGTACTTGGCAAAAGCATTGATCATGTCAATTAATGACGATCATTGGTGACTAATTATCAAACACCTTAACGAATTAATTAACTCGAATTGTTAAAACAATTAGCTATTGTAAGTCAACCTTATCACAATTAATTTATCCACTAATTTAGATTTCTCACTAAACAATCAAGAATATTATTTATCAATTTTTACTCTATTTATTATCATCCTCAATTTCATAATTATCTTAATCTGGGTCAGTAGATTTCTGTTGACTATGATTAAATCATCACTTCCAATTTTCATAATTAAGGTGTAAATATAAAATTTAACTAATTATCAAAGCAAAACCTTGTTCAAATACAAAAAGCAAACACCAGAAAACAGTAACAATTAACTGATAGTAGTTAATTTGTAATTTTTATAAATATTAATCACCTTCAATTATTAACTATTTCAAATTAATTTCAAGTTTAACAATTAAAATAAGTGTTAATTTGATTCTCTTGCAACTTGATAACATAACGAAAAAATTTTAATCCTGAATTAATTGCCTATCACCTCTTTAATCAACTCATTAAATTATTGTTAATTTGATTTGTCAGGTTAGTGGAAACAATTTAATTTAAACTTAACTGAAAAACTGAATTAAATTCGGTAAATTTTGGTTAAAATATCAGCTGGTTGGTTAATTGTCTTGACTAACATAATAATGATTAAAGATTCAATTATCTTCCTGTTAATTATACCAACAGTTTAACTTTATTGACTCAAAATTAATTAATAGTAAAGGTTAAGGTTAATAATAATCAACAACATTTAATAATATTCAATGTAAATCGTTGAATCACAATTAACTTACGATTATTATTAATAACATTTTTCGATTGGTTAAATTGTCTCAATTGAGATAATATTGTGATAATTTAAAGACTGATTAACTTGATTACCAAGTTAATGAGAGCAAGAACCAACTTCTTGGCTTCTTGTCTGATTGTTTGTGATTATTTTTGGAAAGACACTGATTAAAATAATACAATTCACTTGATACAAACTCGAATCTCAATTGTACATTTCCATCATCATAATCACCATTAAACAATGGTTGATATTATATCTTGATTATTGTAGGTTTAATTGTTGATAATCTGATCATTAATGTATCTTGTAACTAATAGAGTTATAATTGAAAGTCAACCAGCCTAAAAGATTCAACATTCAATTAACTAAATTGTCAACTGTTTGATACAATTAAACAGTTTTCACCTTAAAATGTTATTTGTTAACCTAAATAATTAGACAATTTACCAATTTAAATACGAATAAGTTATTTAATTAACAGAAACAACAATTAAGCCTTTTTATTCAAGTAAATAAAACCATTAACCATTGTTAATAAATGTGCTGTTAATCAAGAAGATATTATTATTGAATATTAATTGTTTTTCCAGGTAATGGGAATATGAACCATGAAGATGAACTGGACATTGGTTCACTGGTTGAAGTGACCATTGATGATATCCCTCGTTATGGTGTAATCAAATGGATTGGTTCAATGAACAATTTAACTGATGACGTTAATCATCAACATCAATTGATTGCTGGAATTGAATTAGAAGAGGAATGTGCCTGTGGAACCGATGGAACCTGGAACAATAAACGTTACTTTGATTGTGGACCTAAACGAGGCTATTTTATCCGATTGGCACATTGTCGACGTGATTCCCGTTTCTTTTCACCTTCATCACCATCACAAATACCTAATCAACCCTCACATCAATCACATTTCACAACATCCTCATCGTCATCTATTGCTGTGAATAACACTAATAACTATTCAAATTTATCTTCGTCATCATCATCAACTTCACCTTCATCATCAAATAATACAAATCATCATACTAATAATAATATTGATCTTCTTAAGGTTAACTGTAATAGTAGTAATAGTAACATGAACACCGATCGTTATGGCAAAAGATTGGATTCATCTCGAATTACCTGTGATATACCTCCTCTATCTACTCATGATGACCTTAAATATCTTTGTGGTAAAGCTCGTGGAATTCAAGGTCACCATAATTCATGTTACCTTGATGCAACTTTGTTCGCGATGTTTTCATGTACAACAATATTTGAATCTCTTCTCAATCGACCTCAATCATCATCGGATATCGCTGAATACTCGGAGGTACAAAAGGTTTTAAAAGAGGAGATTGTTAACCCACTTCGAGCCAATCTTTATGTCTCAGCTGATCGAGTGATGCATTTACGAACTCTTCTTGAAAAGTTGACCTCTGTCCGTGGACTTACCTCAGAGGAAAAAGATCCGGAAGAATTTTTAAATCTTCTACTAAATCAAATACTTAAAGCTGATCCTTATTTAAAATTATCTTCAGGCCTAGAATCTTATTTTTATCAATTATTTGTCGATAAGGATGAGAAACTTATTCTACCCACGGTTCAACAATTATTTGATCAATCGTTTCTGGCCTCTGATTTTAAATTGCGAGAGATTCCACCTTGTCTTCTCATTCAAATGCCTCGATTTGGTAGACAATTTAAAATGTACCCACGAATAATACCAAGTCTTTATTTGGACATAACCGATGTACTAGAAAATTCACCTCGACAATGTTCAATTTGCGGACAATTGGCTGAATACGAGTGTAAAGAATGCTTTGGACAGTTCGGTGAAGGGTTAGATTCGATTGCATTTTGTCAAAAGTGTTTGGACAAAAGTCATGCCCACAAGAAGCGCGTTAAACACAAGATAACCAAATTAACTATACCCACAGAATTCAGTATTCTTAAAGATCACACTCAAGTCCAACGGATTTACATGGAGCTATTTGCCGTTCTGTGTATCGAGACAAGTCATTATGTCGCCTTCGTCAAATGTGGATCAGGTCCTGATGCCCCTTGGTGCTTTTTCGATAGCATGGCTGATAGAAATGGTAATAATACAGAGCAATTCAGCTAATTTTTTGGTTTTTTTTTCACGATTACTCCAAAACTACTTGACCGATAGGGTCCATATTTCGTCTATGAAAGTTTGGACGATACTCAATTGTCATATTTCAAGGTCAAGGTCATAAAGATTATTCGTGAAAGAACGCACTGGAAGGTCATTTGAAGAACTTTTTGAAAACTAGAAATTTTTTTAAGCCTACCTGTGATGTTGCATCATTCCTGTACTTACAAGGTCTGATTCAAGTGCGTTCTTTCACGAATAACCTTTATGACCTTTAAATATGACAATTGAGTATCGTCCAAACTTCCATAATCGAAATATGGACCCCGTCAAGTAGTTTTGGAGTAATCGTGAAAAGAAAACCAACAAATTAGCTGAATTGCTCTGTATTAATGGGAATTTCTCTTTCAATTTATGACTAACTGATTGTCTTGTTTTGATTCTGTTGATTCTGATTGATTGTTGTGTAGGTGAACAAGATGGTTATAATATACCGGAAGTGACTCCATTTCAAAATTTACGTTGGTGGCTATCTGATGAAGGAACTGCGTTGCTATTAACCACCAAGGACGATAAATTGTTACCAGAAATGACTCGTCGATTGCTTTGTGATGCTTATATGTGCATGTACCAAAGTCCAGATTTAATGATGTACAGATGATTAAGAAATCTGATTATCATGGAACAAGAAACTCCAAAAGGAACTGATAAAAATCTCATGATTACTCACTCATTTTTTTCTTTTCAATTCACAATCAACAAGTTGGAATCTAATCAAATATCATTGGAGATTTTGATTAACTGGATCTAATTTTTTTTCTCTCTCCTTTATAATAATTAGATGATTAAGACTTGATGAATCTCTCTAATATCTCTTGGCCCTTTGATCATTTAATTAATTGTTCAACAGGTGGTTTTCCATTGATTAAACTGTAAAAGGAAAACCTTAATTATCAATCAAACAATTTAAAGGCTCTGTTTTCAGGTCTTAGATAATTTAATTAATCGTCTTAACCTCCGTCTCTCTTTAACTAATTACCTTCTAATAGATTATATTAATTGTATCTAAATATTTTTCCTCTTTTTCATTGTTGATTCTGTTTCTTTTTTTTTCGTTCTATTTTTATGTTCAATTAATTGTTATTTCAAATTTCCTTCTAATTTAGTCCCAAACAATCAATTCTTTAATTTTATTCCCGTTGTGGACAATTGAGATTATCATTTTTTTTTTGTTTTCTTACCCATAACAAGTGAAAGTGAGAAACATTTAATTATTATAATTATACAAAAATTATTATCAATTCAAATCATCAAATTAACTAATATAATGATTAAAACAATAAAATTAATTATTTTTTTTGCAAAATTACAAAACTGTCACCAATCAATAAGGTTTAATGTACTCGATGGATTAATTAGATAACAATCAACCAATCAAGATAATTCAACAATCAGCCTAATTATCAGAAAATGAGGAAAACAAGAAAATCATCCGACACTTTAATTGTTGATTAGTTAATTGTTATCATAGAATCAGATGTTTTTCCTTTGTTTTTATCTGCAATCATAAATCACCATTGATAAGAAAAATATGATTTCCTTTATTCCAAGGTAATTGTTTCATTTTATTTACCTTAATCAAACTTGATTGAACAGTTAATTCATTTTCCATGAGAATTAAAATTAATTTGATTTAATTTTCTTTTTCCATTGAAACAAATTCGCATCGAAATTTTCCCGCTTCTTCTTGTCGTTTGTTTTTTCTTTGCTCTTTGTTTACCTTTCAATCTGTTTATCAATTTCTAATTTTGTTCATCTCTTTTAATTGTTGTTCCAATTTTCTATTGTTAATTGTTAATTAGTAAATTTCTTTGTTCGGGTGATCCTCAAGTCGATTAGAATCTCAAGTGATCATAAGTAATGAAGATGTGAAACCATAATTTGGATTATTTTATTATTTTCTTTTTCGATGTAAACAAAAAAATGTCTCTTTCCAAGAAAGGGAACATTGTTCATCTATTGAATTTCTAATCATCTTTTTTCTAATGAAACGTTTAATCGTTGCTCTGATTGTGATGAAGTTAATTATTCTATCAATTGTTATTCTATCTTCTCATCTACTGTCCAGTGTTTCTTCAACCTGTCAATATCCATTTGAAGGATTTGGAGTCTACCTTGGAAGATTGGAAGCTTTTAATGAAACATCAGCTGATGTCCGAGAAAATATTCTGTCTCTAATTACCGATGATTTAATGATTCGCAATTTTCGAACAGAATATTTACCTCAATTCTCCGCCGAAGAGGACACATATTCCATTGACTGTGTAGATATTAAAACCTGTTCATGGATCACCATGCATTCCGAACTTTCCAAATTAACAAACATCTCGCTGATTGTATCGATCTGGTCTCCACCTTATTACATGAAAACCTTTTGGCGTCAACTGAAAACCGAGTACGAGCAATCATATTATTATTATATAACCAATATAACTTCACTAATCAAAGAGCAATACAATTTAACAGTTGAAAGAATCTCAATCGCCAATGAACCCGAAAACATGGTTGCCCTTTGGGATGAATGTACAATGCCCGCTGAGCAGTTATGCCGATTAATACAAACCTTTGATGATCCGGTCATCTCATTGTGCCCAGAAAATGCTTGGTTTTCAATATCGAAAATTTATCTTAATTATTCTTATCATGGTGTTGATTGTCGACATGCTTGTCGAACCGTAGTGACCCATGGATACACTCCAAGTCTTAATCCAATCTATTGGGGATCAGTTTATTATGATACGAAAAATTATCCACAAGATTTAGAATCGCCCATTTGGATAACCGAAATTTCATCCACTCGGATTCTTGCACAATTTCATCAAATGACCGAAGCCATTGACATGTCCATATCGATAATTAACTTTGTCGGTAGAACTTGTGTCCAGCGATATTATTACTGGTTGGCTTACACTTCCTCTCCTTCCGGTGAATCGCTTATCTGGGGCTCAGGGAAAAAGACCTCGATCATATTACCGAAAAAGTATTTCGCTTATCGACAATTTACCACCGCCAGTGTTCAAGATTCCACCTCTGATCGATCAGATTGTTCAACGTCAAGTTATTATTGTTTACGATTAAATCATAAAACAATTTTCGTTAATCAGGGTTACAATAAGGAGCAAATTAATGATCTTTGTGACCTTTGTTGTACCACCGATGATTTTGATTACCTTTGTACCGCTTCAAATGTGTTGCCACCACGATCCGTTTGCAGTTGTTAATTACACTCGCTCATCTCAATTAACGTAACAAGTTAAATTATCTTTTATTTTATCACCACGGTAACCAGATTCATATCACATAGTATAATAACATTTCTTGTATATAAGTTGATACAATTAAACCAATTGTAAACCTAATTAATAACTTTTTCAATTGTTTTCTAATGTTTCAATAGATAATTCATTTGATTAGATTGCAATCAATTTAATTTGCGATTCTTGATACATGTGATTAAATTTTGAATCGTCAAATTTTGTCAAATTTGAATGATTAATTAATTTTCCTCGTTTGATTGTAAATGTGTAACAAAACAATCAGTTAATTACTGCAGAAAATGAAACTTGCATCAATTATATTATTCTCCCGTCGGCTAATTGCCAACAATTAAGGAAAACAAAAAGCAAATCGATGAAAAAATTGTTTACAATGTGAACAATTTAACTTTAATTAAGAAGAGAGAAAATTTTGATTACTCAAAATCAGAAACAATCAAATTTAATTCAATTGAAAGTGATCAAGTTTCATGATGATGATGATTTAAAATATAATCATGATGACGATGATGATGATAATTTAAGAGGAGAATTAACAAAAAAAAAGATTCAACTGTTTTCCTCCTTCTTTCTCAGTCTCACTCTCTTTCCTCATGAAATAGTTTTTCTAAATTGTGATTAGTTAATTGTGACCAAAAAAAGTATCAGAAAATTAAAATTCTCACAAAATCAAATAGATTCAAAGTTGCCCGGGTCTTTTTGTTTACTTCCAATTTCTGGTTACCTAGTGAACTTTAACTCCTTTCATGTAATCAAAACGTTTGGAGCTTTTTAACTTGTTAACAGTTTATTTGTTTGTTTTTTTATTCTTTATTTTCATTCAACAATTAAGATCACCAATTAACGAGTCAACAATCAACTTAATTCACTACAAGAGTGAATTTAATGTAATCAAAATTCGCAATACGTTGTTAACCATTTTATTTTTCTTCTCCTTTTACTTGTGTATCTATAATCTTGTTGTTGTCTAATCATCACTTTAACCCAAAAAAAGTGTTTCCAATTATTTGATTTGTAATCGTCTTCTAAATGGTTGTGATTCTCTATCCAGTGGCAATTAATCATTAATCACATTCCATAATTGTTACAATTAAACCACCATGTCAATCCTTTCTAAATTAAGTATACCCGATAGGTCCAAGCTTACCCGAAATCAATGGGTACTTATTGTTGGTTCATCTCTTTCCTTAACCTTATGGACTTGTAGTGTTTTATCAAGAGGAAAATCAAACAGGTAAGAGAACAATTTTTAATTCTATTCTTTTCCTTAAATCAGTGATTAATTTAATTCTTTAGCAAACATTTATTCTATTCTATAATTAGTATTTCCCATCAATCCATATCATATAAGTACGTTTGTGTGTCTTGTTAATTCATTTCCATAGTAAAAGGGTAAACTTAGAAATTGAGAATAAACAAATTCTATTCTCTTTTTCATTTAATCAATTTTAACCATTGAATTTTCATTCTATTACTTTAAATCAATACAATTAACAAATTTAATATCCATTGAAAATCTAATCATTTCCAGTTTCATTTCCATTACCATTTAATAGTTTTATGATTACATTGTTATTATAATACTTTTCCTCTCATGTTGTCATTATAAACATTCAGGTTTCCCTTTTTTTTTTATTTCCAGTTCCTAATGTCATACCAATGTAACTATTAGATTTATAATCATGATTAGACACCTTAATTGTTGATATTATATTGTATAAGCTTATTGACAATCATCAAAGGAAAGGAAATAATAATTGAAAACTGTTAATCTCTCCATTAAGTTACTCTTTTGAAAACGGGTCATAAGGTAAACTGATTTAGCTTAAAGAGTATTAATATATCCAAGTTATATCCAGTTTTCAGTGTTTGTCCTATTTTAATTTTATTATCATTTGGTTAACTTAATCTTGATTAAGGTTGTGTTGATCATTTACAATTAACTGACCTGTTCTAACCTTTACAATTTAACTTGTTGATACGATTTATTATATTCACCATTTGATTTGGCAACGAAAAGAAAAACATCAACAACAGGAACAAACGAAATAAGCAAAAAAAAATTTAAGAAATTGAATCAATTAACTAACTAATTAGTGAAAGTTTGATTTCTTTCAAATCATTTCCCTCTAATTGTTAGCTTACCATGATTGCAAATTAATTATTGTTTCCCTTTTACTAAATTGACTCTTGAGTATTGATGACAATCATTGACAGTCTCGTTTACCTTGATAAATGTTTACATTTATAACTAAAGTCAACTGTCAAATAATGAGACTGTCAGGTAATTAGACTTTCTCATCAATTTACCTCCTTAAATGACCAATGCTAATTTTAATCATTAGCAAATTTCTTAAAAATGATTAATTAACAAAAGTAAACAATTAAAAGCTCAGCTCGGTTGTCTTGGTTACAATAGAAACGTTATTTTGATAGACTCTCATTAACTGGTAGTTGATTCTATTCATATATTCATGTAATTATTTTATAATGAAAATTAACTAATTGTTTTCTGAATCATTTCCCTTTAGGCGATCTAAAAATGTCGATGATCAACCATTGTTTCTTGAGAAAGATGGACAATTATCAAAACGGAAAACAGACAATTTATCACAAACAATGTCCGAGTTAAAGGTTATCCTTAATATGATTGCTGGTGGTAAAGAATATGCTTATGGAGCTGGTGTAATTTTAATTCTAATTGTTAAAACAATTAACGATCTTTGGTTAATGAGCAATGGAACCCAAATTGAGGCTGCAATTATCACGGCCAATTTGTCAAAATTAAAGTCCAACTTGTCCGCCTTTTTCTTGGCTATGCCGACCCTTGCAGTTACCAATAATTTGTTTAAATATTTTCTTAATCAACTTCGTCTTAATTTGCGAAACAAATTATCCGTCATTTTATACGATAAATATATCGATGGACTTACCTATTATCGGATCAATGTGTTCGATGATCAATGTCGCAATTTGGATCAATTGTTAACAAGTGATGTGGAAAAATTTTGTAACACTCTTGTTGATGTCTATTCCAATATTGCTAAACCTTTGCTGGACATTTTCACTCTTGTTTACCGATTATCGGTCAGTTACACTGGTTTCAAGACTCCGGGTGCCATGATAACTTATCTATTGGTTTCGGGTACAATTTTGACTTCAGTTCGCCGACCCTTAACTCGATTAACAATCAAGGAGACTCAATTGGAAGGACAATTAAGATACGTTCATTCCAGATTAATTGCTAATTGTGAAGAGGTTGCTTTCTATCAAGGGAATAGTCGTGAAAGGTTAACACTCATGGGAGCCTTAGGGCGTCTTAAGAATCATCTAAACAATGTCGCTATATTTAAGTTCAACATTGACTTTTTAGACAATCTAATTGCCCGATGTAAGTTTTTAGTTGATGATGATTATTGGTCTTGTATTGATTGTTTGATCCTGATTTTTGTTTCATATTTTTTTTATTTAGATTTCGCTGTTGTAGTTGGTTATCTGTCACTTGCAATTCCATTTTTTTCTAATTCGATAACTGGAACTACTCAAGATCGTCTTGAAGCTTATTACAAATCTGGTCGTATGATGGTTCGATTAGCAGAAAGTATCGGTCGACTGGTTCTTGCAGGTCGTGATCTTTCTCGTCTTGCTGCTTACACTCAACGTGTTACCCAATTGATCCGATCAATTGAAGCCAATAGAAGGTCACTTTCCTCGTCCCGACGTTGTAATGGTATATTTTCAACTGGATCAGGTGTAGTTCAACTATGTGACATTGCTCATCCTCAAATTGTCTTTGAAAATGTACCTCTGGCCACTCCGGGAGGTGATATACTAGTTAAATCTTTATCATTCACAATTAAACAAGGACAGAACGTAATTGTTACAGGTAAATGTTAATACCGAAAAAAAAACCTAAAGCGATAAAAATCAAATTAAATCATTTTTTTTTCGTTTCTTCACAATTCCAGGTCCAAATGGATGCGGTAAATCATCGCTTTTCCGTATTATTGGTGAATTGTGGCCACTTTGTGGAGGAAAATTAATCAAACCACCAAATAATAGATTATTTTATATACCACAAAAACCATATCTTGCATTGGGGACTCTTCGAGATCAGATCATTTATCCCGATACCGTTGCTGATATGAGACGTAAGGGAGTCACCGATGAAGATTTGATTACACTTTTAGCCAAAGTTGAACTAACTTACTTACTTGAAAGAGATTACAACATGGATTCGATCCACGATTGGGCTGAAGTGTTCAGCGGCGGTGAGAAACAAAGAATCGCCATCTCTCGATTACTTTATAATCGACCTTTGTTTGCCATTCTCGATGAATGTACATCAGCGGTTTCGGTTGATGTCGAACAACGAGTTTATCAATATCTGACCGTTGAAACTGGATGCACTTTACTCAGTGTAACTCATCGTGTTAAACAATTACAACAATTTCACCAATTTGCCCTCAAGTAAGTTAACTTTTTGTGCTCGAAAACTTTTGATTATCGATTGAAAATTTCTTATACATGTACAATCAACATAATCTAATACAATTAGCAAATTTCTACTTTTTTTCAAATTGATCATTTTATTTTTTGTCTGAAAAGGAGGAAATAATTTCTAATTGCTCATTTTGAATGATTAGTAAACTATTTGCTAATTTGTTAACATTAAAGGTTAATTTCTGTTGCATAATTAATCCAACGAATCAGTTAAATTTAAGATTAATCTACAATCAAAGTTTAGTTAATAGTTAATCAGGTTTCTCATTGAAATTTTCTATTAATAGATCAACTGATTTGTCTCGATGCAATCATATTCATGTAGTACTAATTGGAAAACTGCAACAATCAATGCGAGATTAAATTAATTGTTGACATTTTTCTTTCATTGAAAATCATTTAAATTTAATGGTCACAATCAACTAATCAATGTTCCACTTTTTCCCTTGATAATTTTACAGATTCGATGGATGTGGAAGTTGTTCATTTGAAGAAATCGAAGAGGATTCAGTATTGGTTTGAAATCGATTACGAACTCATCGTGATTAACTAACATTGTAAATAGATTGATAATTTTTTTATCAAAATATTAATAGGGATAATCAACTATTTGAATTTCAATTAGTTGTCTCTAATAATTGGAAGCAACTTTTTGAACTCAATGGATAAACTTTATATATAGTGACTTAAGACTGATACAAAATATAATTAATCATCTGTAAAATTAACTCATCATGATCATCTAATCATCAGTATAATAATCATGCAAGTCAAGATATACATGATTTAGCAGGGGAACAAATTACTAAAGCATTTAAACCAATTGCAATGAGGAATCATCACCTACAAATAATCACTAAATAATTTACAATCAAAAAATCTATCAAATTATAATGGTTTCAATCATCAAATTATCATTGGATAAAACCATAGGATGAAAAGACTGAATATCAAATCCAAGCTTGGTCATAATCATAATAAAATCTCATTTATTTCTGGTCCAATTAGTCCAAAAACTGGCCAATCGAAAGCATTTCCCGTTTATCCTCTGAGATTAACACTTAAAAATACTTATAATCAATTCTGTACTCATTTTAATTGCACTTTGGTGTCGACAAGCAGTGATCAAGATGTCGTTTTGTCAAAAGGATTTTTCATTTTTTAGCCTTAATGTTACTTTATTGACTTGCTGGACGTATAAATGTCCATTCAATGAATAGTTTAAGGTCACATTCTGAGATTTCTTTTAGATGAAATATCCATTGGACAAAGTTTCTCGCTTTTACTATTACTATAAATCTTGAATTGTTAATGAATAAGTTCAATTGGATTAACTCAACCTATTGTAAAGCTTTTTACTCTGCCTTTGGACTTATCCAACGTTTTAATAACTCTTTTTACTGTTGATACCTGTCATCAATTCTGGTTAACCGATATGGTTAAGAGCATCAGAAATTCTATCTGAATTTTGATATACTTGGGCTGATTTGGATATTTATTCTTGGTTTCAAAGTATTAAAACGACAAATAGTTAATTAACTTATAATTTGACAAAAAAAGAGATAAAATCAACGTTGGAAACTGATTTAAAATATGATACAAACGGAAATCCAGTCATTGAGATGATCAATTGAACAAATTTGATACTGACTTGTGAATCTCTACAAATGGAATCATCAGCTTTTACTTTATCTGTTGATTGTCCATCTTCCAAAGTGGACAATATGTCAACAAGTCAAATCAAGTTGATTCTGTGATTAGATTAATCAATTTCTTCCTTTTCTATTCTCATCTTTTTGTCCAATGTCTTTCGTTGTCTAATGAACCTTTCGTTTTTCTATGTATCATTTATACATTATTATTATTATTATTGTTATTATTTTCACCAATGAATACAAGAATGATGAGAAGATGATGGCAAAGAAAGAAAGAAAAAAAAAGATGAAAATGAAACTAAAAAAGATCTTGAAAAGAGAGCAAAAGAGAAGCAAGAAGAAGAAGAAGACAAATTCAGTTCTCCTTTTGTTTTCTTCATCTTCTCATCATTCAGTTTCAGTATTTTTTGTTTATTGTATGATCTACACAGAGGCTCCTTTTGTGTGATATTTTCCTCCTCCATCACCACCCATTATCCACCCTGTAATCTTTTGTTTCTGTCTATCTTTTGGAAATCAAGAACCTATTGAACCGGACAATGGTCATAATAATAGCAACAACAACATAATTGAAATGACCATGATGCAGGTTCATTGTCAACTTATGGCTGCTCACATACCATGCGAGGTTTCACTTGAATGTATTATTTTCCACCCCACATCCAGATTTCCACTCTCTCACAATGTACAATAGAATTGATATTAGAAGAATTGATTTATATAAAAAAAAAATATTGAACATTTTCATCAGAAAATCGCCTCAAGTTGTTGAAAACAATTTGCACATGAACGAGACACCGATTTATTCAATGAACATACAGAAACTTAGGTGGTAACATGGCACAAAAAGGATTCTCATGGAGAGAAGGAGTAAAAAAAAGCTCTTTTATTTTCCTCCGCCGGTTATTCTGATTGAAATTTAATAAGAGAGAAAAAAAATTCTCCAACTTTTTCCCCCTCGACTATTCTCATATAATGTCCACTATCTGTCTATGGTCCATGTCCACCTGAACCACGTACAGAGATGGTCAACTAAATACACGAAACTAACGCTGAGAACAAAAAAAAAGTCTCTTGACCAAAGGAGATTAAAGTTATTTGACCATTAAAGTTAATGATATTATCATGATATCGAAGTGTAACTCGGATTGATTTTGAATGAACTTTTTTCTTTCACTTCATCTTGAGTAGTTAGTTGTTCATCTTTCATCATGATCGTTATATCACCATGATAATATTTCATTTTCTGTTTAACTTTCACCCTCAATTCAATAATATTATCAATTGAATAACCATTTCAAGTTAATCGTTTATTAACTTTCATTTTTCACTTTCTATCCTCATGGTGAATGATTTCAAACTTCTTAATCTGATTCAATCCTTATTACCGAAAAATCAGTTGTAATTATAATTAATATTTCCACCTTGTTGGATAATAATTAACCAGCGTACATTTTTGATTACAGGTTGATTAACCTTTAAGGTTGTCAAATCAATTAAATTACAAATCTCAATTGCAAACAATGAATGGTCATATTTTCAATTATCAATCTTAATCTAACCAGTGGAGTGTGTTAACCAAATTAATTAGATTGATAAATGAAATAATCAATATGTCACAATCATGATTTGATCAATCAAAATTACAATCAACCTTTTTATATTAATAATAATATTGTGCTCATTTGATTATGTTTATTAATAATTATCAATCAAATAGTAACAATTAAGAAGGGGAAATGAATGAATCAGAAAATCAATTACGATTTTCATATATATGTATTAACTAATTGCTATGATAAATGTTATGTTAATAGTTATGATAATTTGAAACTAAATCAATTATACTTATATCTCACATTAGGATTTAATCACTAGGGTTATTTTATCCTCCATTAGTTGATTATGATGATGATAATCAAAAGGATAATGATGATGAATATTATTTAGATTCTGAAAAGATGAAGCTGTATATTCATTAAATATCAAGTTAGATAATAATGTGATGATGATTATGATGATTTCCCCTGAAATGATTAACATTGAATTCAGAGTAAAGTTCAATTTACCATGAAAAAGAGATTGATAAAGATAATTCAAGATAAATTCCCAGCAAGTTAAGGAATCAATTAGGTTAATGATGATGTTAATCATGGTGATAATTAAGCCAAAATTCATTTGATTAATATCAAGTCAAGTTCAATTCTAATGATGGATAATTTTAATTGTTTCACCAAATTGATAATTATTATGATTTTAACTTCTGATTATCGAGATGAAGTAAAAATTAATTGATTCTTTATCTAAATTGTCACATTGTTCAGAAATGAGCTTAATTGCTAAAAAATTGGTCAAAATAATTGAGTCAAAAAAAAGTTTCACAATCAACAAACAATTATTACGATTCACGATTTTTTATATGAAGACTAGGAAAAACTAGGAGTCGTACAGACATGGAAAAAATATCAACAGAAAGAAGACAAAAATCTTCAACAAAAAAAATAGAACCAATGTCATAGGTGGTCAGGGTCAAAAGTTATTAATTAATGAAAAAAAAGGACCGTTAAATTGACCAAATTAGAGTGTTAATTAGATTAATAAGAGGATTAGACAGAAAAGAAAGAGAAAAGGGGGAGAGAGAAGGGGTGAATTATGACGTTTGAGGCAATGAAAGAGGAAGAGAAAAGAAAGAGCATCAGATGAATGTAAGTTTTAATTCCATCAACCGCACGCCCTGGGATATTAAAACTTTGAGAGGTTAATCAAAGATTTGATCAACTACTCTGTTTAAATTAAGGTTGACAAAATTTGCATGAAAAAAGACAGAAAAGATGACATTCATGAATTCCATCTCCTAGAATTATTCAGAAAAGTGATCATGTTGATCGCTTGGTTTTCCTTGTTATTAAGAAAATTAAACAGAAGAAACAACTTGTTGATTGTTTGGTCACTTTGGAGTTTATTAATTAATGTGATTCTTTTACATTTTTCAACTTGAATTTTAATTTGATTGGGATTTTGAGACAAAATATGAATTAAAACGGCGCCCATTCAAATTTGCCCGTTTAATTGTCAACTTCAATTCGGTGAAAAATCTCGTTCGTCTATTGTGTCACTCTTATAAAGGTAGTTTGACGGGAGAGCTCCTTGAGTTTAGACGAACCAGTGTAGGTACAAGCCGATGTCAGGCCGCCAAGAATTTCCAAGATTGTTTGGTCAACATCGCCACGATATAGCACCTCAAAAGTTTTGCCCTCTGATGCTCGATACTCGCTACACCACCATGGTGTTTTTCATGGCAGTGGCTGAGCTCATCCCATAGAATTTTTATATTTTTACCATTCCGCTCAATAGTCTCTCCTCCACACTCAGTGTGACCTGACAACATACCACCGAGCATCACGAAATCAGCACCGGCACCAAAAGCTTTGCAGACGTCACCTGGACATATACAACCACCGTCCGAAATAATGTGACCACCAAGCCCATGAGCGCCATCGGCACATTCAATGACGGCACTTAACTGTGGATAACCCACTCCAGTCTTTTCCTGGTGGTACAAACACTCCAGGACCAATTCCTACCTTGATATCTGCACCGGCGAGAATCAGTTCCGCGACCATCTCTTCGGTGAGCACATTACCCGCCATGATTCTCCGATACCAGAACTTACAGCTACATTCTGAGAGAGAGAGAGAGAGAGAGAGAAAACAGACAATTGTTAATCTACATAGAAAATTATGATCTTAATTTTTGATTTACCTTAAGCGCTTCTGGATATTCTTTAGCAAACTTTTCCCACTCTTCTACAGAATAGTGCTTATGGACAGCAGTCAACATATTGTACTGTGGAAAAATTGAAAAAAACATCAATTAAATCTTAGAATCTAAGATTAAAAGGAAAAACTAACCTGAGCGAGAGCAGCAGCCATGGTGAAGGTGCCAATGGTGTCCATGTTTGCAGCGATAATTGGTACACCACAATATTCCTGATTGGAATTTTTAAATTTCATTGATCGATTAAGATCAACCTACAAAAAATCGAAGATTAAAGTCCAAATTAACAATAAAGAAAAATAACATAAACACAATCGGATTTACCTCTGATCTACTCTTGAGAGTACTCCTTTTTGGACGAAATAAAACATCCTTGAAATCGAGTTTAATGTCGTTGATTATGGTTGGCATGGTGGTTTATTTTTCGAAACAATTACGAGATATAAAGTTGATTGTCAAAAAGAAGAAGAAAAAAATTAACCACAAGTCACGAATTACAAGTTGAAACTGTTCATTAGGATTCGTTTCTGAATCTTTTATTCTCAGGGAGTGACATCTATGGAAAGAACTGATAAACCACAGAAAAGATAAAAATGGATTTAATTGTTGATTCGAAGATGATTAAACAATTAACTTGGTGGGTCAATTCTTCAACCAATCTGAAGGTTAAGTGTTTGTTTTGTTTTGAGATTAAAACTCGATCGCGATATCGACTTTGTTTAGAACTAGTGGAAAGACTTTAAATCAACACAATTAAACTGATTAATTATTTGGAAAGTTAATTGTTTATTCACATATTTATAAGATTTTTAATTGTTAACTTGGTATCAGATTACAATTAACTGATGAAGATTACTTTTAATTGTTATATAGTGATCTTCATGTTGATTGTAATTTAATTTCACTCCGATCGATTACAACCACCGTCCGAAATAATGTGGCCACCAAGTCTATGGGCGGCATCAGCACATTCAATGACGGCACTTACACTGTAACTGTGGATAACCCACTCCAGTCTTTTGCCTGGTGGTACCAGTGTAGGTACAAGCCGATCTCAGGCCACCAAGAATATCCAAGATTGTTTGGTCAACATCACCTCGATATGGAATCTCAACAGTTTTACCTTCTGATGCTCGATATTCAGCTACTCCACCATTATGTTTGTTCATGGCAGTTGCTGAGCTCATCCCATAGAATTTTTTATATTTTTTACCATTCCGCTCAATAGTCTCTCCTCCACACTCAGTGTGCCCTGACAACATACCACCGAGCATCACAAAGTCAGCACCGGCACCAAAAGCTTTACAAACGTCACCTGGATAGGCACACCCACCGTCAGAAATAATGTTCCCTCCAAGTTCATGAGCGGCATCAGCACATTCAATGACAGTGCTTAACTGCGGATAACCAACTCCAGTCTTTTTCCTAGTGGTACATACCGAACCAGGACCAATTCCTATTTTAATTATATCAGCACCAGCGAGAATCAATTCTTCGAACCATCTTAGCGGTGACCACATTACCCGCCATGATGGTTCGATCGGGAAAAGCAGCTCGTGTCTTTTTGACAAATTCAACCAAAACGTCAGAATATCCATTGGCCATATTCAAGCAAATAAAGGGTATCGAGGGCACTTCTTCTAGAATAGTACTAGGGTTGGTGAAATCCGATTCTCCGATACCAGAACTTACAGCTACATTCTGAGAGAGAGATGAGAGACAGAGAGAGAGAGAGTGATAACACTAATCTAATTAGTCGATTTTTTTATATCAGAAGTGAAAAAATAGTAACAGTAATTGATCTTGATTGGATTACAATGTAAACCCTTGTTAAGTTCAATCAATATTGAGTATCTAGGATAATATGGCCTAGTTTTCTCAAGGTCATGTACTAAATTCATCAAATAGAATTAGAAATAGAATCTGATTCTCAAAAATAGAAAATGTAAACATAATCACAAACCTTAATTGCGTCTGGATGTTGATCCGCAAATTGTTTCCATTAATCAACTGAATAGTTTTTATGAATTGTAGTAAGTAGATTGTGCTGTTGAAAATAATTAAAGAAAAACAATTAATCAACAATTAAAAAGGTTAAAGGTAAGAAAAGAGTGAGGGAAAAATGAACCCACCTTATTCAAAGCTAATGCCATCGGAAAAGTGCCAATGGTGTCCATGTTTGCAGCGATAATTGGTACACCACAATATTCCTGATTGGAATTTTTAAATTTCATCGTTCGATTAAGATCAACCTGTTGTAATTTTTTTAAATTAACGTCACAATATAGAGAGCAATCAATTAGAATAAAGCACCACAATAGAAAATGAGATAAAAGTAAACAACCGGACTCACCTATGATCTACTCTTGAGAGTACTTTTTTGAGGAACTATAAAAACATCCTTGAAATCGAGTTTGATGTCGTTCTTTATTTTTGACATTACATTACATTGACATTTAAACATTTTTTTGTTCTAAACACTAACGAGATATAAAGTTGATTGTAAAAAAGAAGAAAAAAAATTAACTACAAGGCAAAAGTTAAAAGTTGAAATTGTTCATTGGGATTAGTTTCTGAATCTTTTATATTCTCAAGAAGTGACATCTATGGAAAGAACTGATAAACCACAGAAAAGATAAAAATGGATATGGCACCTCAAATTCTCCACATCTCATTCGCAACATCCAAGCAAATGAAGGGTATTGAAGGCACTGCTGTAAGAATATCACTCAGGTTGGTGAAATCCGATATGGAACCTCAACAGTTTTGCCCTCTGATGCTCGATACTCCGCTACACCACCATGGTGTTTTTTCATGGCAGTGGCTGAGCTCATCCCAATAAATTTTTAATATTTTTTACCATTTCTTTCAATAGTTTCACCTCCACACTCAGTGTGACCTGACAACATACCACCGAGCATCACGAAATCAGCACCGGCACCAAAAGCTTTGCAGACGTCACCTGGACATATACAACCACCGTCCGAAATAATGTGACCACCAAGCCCATGAGCGCCATCGGCACATTCAATGACGGCACTTAACTGTGGATAACCCACTCCAGTCTTTTTCCTGGTGGTACAAACACTTCCAGGACCAATTCCTACCTTGATATCTGCACCGGCGAGAATCAGTTCCGCGACCATCTCTTCGGTGAGCACATTACCCGCCATGATTCTCCGATACCAGAACTTACAGCTACATTCTGAGAGAGAGATTATTTTAGTTCAGGGAACTCCCGCCAGGGGGGTCACTGTGGCTTTTAAGGCGCCTCATCCCGTCTATCTTAGCCGACGTACTCAATTGGCTGTATATATAGATAACGGGCTTGAGGGAAGGGATGAAGGGTTATTCGTAGAGGCCTAATCCCACGCCAAGGCTTCTCTTCTCCCCAATGCAGGATCAAAGCATTGGTACTCGCCTCTGTCAGGAGTCGAACGTAGAGCCCCAAAGTTAGCAAGACCAATGATAAGGCTTTCCCTCGGTGCTAAACACTGGACTACAGCAGAGAGAGAGAGAGAGAGTGATAAAAGGATTCAATTAATAATTTTAGCAAACTTCATCTGATTCATTGAAACAATAATCAACAATAACCATAAATTAAATCATACACATGTAGATAGTTAAAGCCTCAACCTACAAGGCAAGTAGATAATTGTAAATAATGATAGTTAAGAAATCTCATCAGAAGTTAAAAAAAATAGTAACAGTAATTGATCTTGATTGGATTACAATGTAAACCCTTGTTTTAATTATCCTGATTTTCAACAATTCATACAATTAATCAGTAAATTAATCTTAATTGTTGCTTTAAAAAAACTCAAAAGTTTAATTGCTCAGGTTTTTTTGATTGTAATCATCAAACTCATCCAATCCAATGATTGCCACCAACATTTTCAACAGATTAATTAACAATCAATATTTTTTAATTGAATTTAACTAATCCAATACATTTTAATTTGCTTTTAAAATTAATCGTTACCGTTAATGGGAAACAACAATTAATATTTTTACACGATAATTATTAGTCTTGAAAATAATGAGAAAAGCTTAATGATAAACAATTAATCAATTACAAGGAGCACAATAAACTAAATCATTACAATTAATATTGACACAAGGTATTTATAGTTAACATGACAATCAGATTTAATAATGAAACTTTTTTTGTTTCTTGGTTGACAAATAAACAGAAAAGTGTAACAATGGGATTAAAACCTATTGGTAAATATTATCTCATCAATTGTTGATTTAATTGTTTCATCCAAATAATTAGTATATGAGAATAATGGAAAATAATGGTTAACAATTATAATCTCTGTTTATAATCATCATCAACACTTTTCTGAGATGAGAAAAACATGAAGGATTAAGAGATGATGGATGAGGAGATATTCATCTTCAAGGATAATCCTTTCGTTAGATTTTCCTTACAATTTTGGTTTACCGTTATTCCAATGGAAATGGTGGACAACAAGTATCGTAGATATGGTAAACCTTCAGGGTTATCGTCATCATGTTTAGTCATGAATCTTTTTGGAATCAAAGAAGGTGAAGAAGAAGAAGAAAAAATCTCATCTTGAACAATTTTATTTGAGAAAAGTTTTTTTCCATTTTCTCTCAGGCAATTTCAATCTCTCATCTCAATCTAATGATATTAAAAACTATTCCCTGTGAATAATATTATTACCATGGTGAAGAAAAATTTAACAACTTTATTCAAAGTGTCTCGTTTGTCTCAAATCAACAGAACTCAACTGAATCTCCCTTTAAACTATTATCACCATGGAATTAACTCAGAGATCACAATTCTCCAATCAGATTAACATGATAATTCAAACATCTTTTTATCCTTTTGATTCATTACCTTTCGATAACCTTACCTGACTTTCCAAGGTGAACTAATGTAATGATAAAAATTCTGGTTAAATTGTAGACAATCAATCCAATTGATAACTAATAGAAGGAGAGAGAGAGAGAGAAAATGCTCAACTTTTGATTAGATTATAGTTGATTGTTGTTTCCATCATTTGATCACTAATCTAATACCTCTCAATCATCATTTCATATTACACAATAAGATACATCACCATCAATATCCTAATCCTCCTCATCATCGTAACTTTTACCGTTATGTTTAGTTATTATTGTTATGTATCTTTGGTAATATTTTTTTCATCTCTCTCTCTCTCTCTCTCTCTCTCTTCCAATCAACACACCATCAACCACACACCCACCCACTCACCTCATCATCAAGAATATCTGACTGATTTGCTATTGACATGTTTCTTCAACCAACTTCACCACCACCACCACAACAACAACCACCCACTCCTCCTCCTATTTATTTTAGCATTATTATTATCATTTGGAAATACCATTTATATATAATATAAATATATATATAAATTGTATAAGATTGATGGGAATTAGTAAACAACATTTCAATTGGAAATAAAATGATAACAATTTAACTGACAGTTAACGTGGTAACCTAATTGCTTAACTTTAATATATCACTTTTATATATTGAAAACATTTTATCATCAACACAAAGATAAACAGAATAGTAGTAAAGTCAAGTTTCAGGTCGTAATCCTTTTACCTTTCAGATTACACCGAGTATTTCATATTCAACTCAAGGTATGAAAGTTTTGTATAGTTTATGCTCTGAATTGAGATATAATCTTCCACCTCTCTCCAACTAATATAATAATTGTTTCACCAGGAAGAGAGTGGGTGGTGGTGTCTGGTATAACAAAAAGTGTTCCTAATGTCAAAACTGTTTCAGAACTTGAGGAATTATCATGAGATTGTAGTTTTCTTCTTAGTTTCCTTCTTTCTTGAGATTTATCCTTTTCTATTATGCAAGAAAGATAAAAACAAACATTCAGATGGAAGTTAAATTTCATCTTCATGGTGATATTTTCACATTAAGAAGGATAATATTTTAGGAATTTGGAGCAATTTTATTCCTCAATTGGGAATAAAACGAAGTGATTATTGTCAAGGGAATGGTAAAAGGTATCAAAGGTAAATAAAGGTTGATTATAAATAGATATGATTACAATATTGATCCAGGATTTGATCATGTAACCATTTTTATCAGCTGATTTTCATCATAATTGTGACATTATAACTGAAGAAAGAATTTCGTTTCAATGTTTTTCATCCTCTTCTTTTTCCAAGATTGATGATGATCATCGAAATTGTTTGTATTCCAATCAATCTGGTTGAGAATTGCAACTAGTAGGAGGTGAATATTATCCTAAGAATTTGTTATTGGAAGAGAGAGAGATTACCCGGCGGAAGAAGATGATAAATGAGAGAAAACTTGATGAACAGGAAGAAGTACAATTCGTTGGAATGGAAATTATATAATATCAGTAGAAGATTAAAGAAAAAAAGATGCAAAGAATAAGATGAAAAATCAGAATCGATTATATTTAAGTTGCTGACCATGAGATCGCTGGTTGACTGGTCAGCGATAAAATTGTTCAGAGACAAGATTGAAGGAAAAAAAAATATTCTTTTACAATCTTTAAATTCTCACCTTGATTTTTCTAATCGAAAGAAAATAAAAGTTATCCTTTCAGCTGAATTTTCACCTTCATTCCTATTCTTAAGCACCATGAACTTTTTCAACTTGAATACCATCGAAAAAAAAGTTCAGTTTAAGCTTTTCGATCTTCATTGAGAAAGAAAATCATTCTATTAGATTATCATCACTACCTATCGAAAATCATATTGAAGTTTAATCTTACGAATGAATCTGAATCTTGAAATTTAGAGTAAAAAATAAATAAAAATAAAAAGAATTTACAATCAGAATCGAGAAAAAAAAGGAAAGAATAAAAATAAAAATTTCCAACGATTTTCTTTTCCATTTGATTGTAACTTCGATCATGATGATGATGGTCATCATTTTCATTCTTTTCATCATGATTATTATTTTCTCAAGTTCCTATTCTTCAAACAAATCTTTCCACTCTTATTAGTCTTATCCCTTATTCCTCCTTTTCATCATCATCATCATCATTTCCAATTCTGAATGTCCAATCTTCCTCTCGATTCACTAAGCACTCCCAATACAAATCAAATAACGGAAACATTGAGTTCGAAAAAAAAATAAAACATTTTTTGTTCAATTTGTTTCATTTACTGAATAATAATAATGATTAATATCACATTATCATCCAATTGTAATGATAACTTATCGAGTAGGAAACAATTGAAATAATCAGAATCGCCATGTTCATGATAGGAAATAAAAGAGTAACAAAAAAAGAGTTGAAGTAATAACTTATTCCAATCTTATGATAATCAACATACAAGGAAATAAATGATAATCATGGTGAAAATTGTTCAGTTCATTTTTCACCGATAATCACACCCACTATTTCACTGTCTGTATCGTTGATTGAATCGTATCAGTAAATAGTTACAATTGGAACGATTTTCCATCATGATTATCGAGAAACAATTAACTGATTCCTTATGTTTGTCTGTAAGTGAAACTATCACAGTTAATTAAATTTAAGAGGCTTTCAACAATTAGCCTAATCAAACTTGATCTATCTAAATTAACTAACCATCGTGATGGTTAGTTAATTGCCTCTGATAAGATATTGACCGTTAATTGGATTTAATATAATCATGATATTGGTCACTTGGTGTTAAATGGTTGATATTGTTGTTGATGGTAAATTGTTATCATGATAATCACTCCCTGGTGTTTATTTAATGATTACCATCATGATGATAATCAATTTTGTCACGTTAATCAACATACTTACAAATTTACTGTTGAGTCTGTTGAATTATAATCTAATTATTTTGATTGGTAAAACCTGAAATTGATCAACAAATTAAATGAATTTTGATCAACCTTGTTATTGATTTAATAAGAATGATTGTCAATTACTTTCTGTCATTTTCTAGGGGTTTTCATTGAAAAAGTTATCTGATTAATAGAATTGAATCAATCATGTTGGTTATGATGATGATTTAATCTTTCAATTCAGTTGAATGAGTAAACGTTTGAAATTACCTCAAGTTACATATTCATAAATCATAAACACTCTGAACAAATGGATAAAGATGAAAATGAAGATGGAAAATAAAATCAATCATGAAAGATCAATAGATTATCAATACCATGAGAATCCTTTGAAATCTCAGGTGAAAATCTGATGAAATTATTTCCTCTTTACTTGACCAGATAAGAAAACGTTTCCAATTAAAATTTGATTATCAACAGTTTTACTGTTGGTCAGTTGGTTGGTCAATCCTTCAGGATACTGTGATTAATTAGCTTGAGAGGTTTAGACTCCCGGTGTGTTTATATTAGCTAAATGTTGGAGTGGGAGTAGGAAAAGGCGGTGGGAATGGGAGGTAACGAAGGAGAAACTGGAAATTGTTATTTATTGTGACGAAGTCTACAGGGTGTGTTCATGTTCAAATTCTGATTTAATTTCAGTCAAATTCAATTGTTTCAGCATAACGATTATCATGATATCGATTTTATCATGTTCCAATATTAATATTAGAACTTTTTTTTTCTCATTCTTTACTTTCATTAAACTTTTTTCTTTCCTCTTTCAACTTTTTTTTCTGATTTTCGTTTTTACTTTTCTCTTCCAATCAAAAATCAATCAACTAATCTAAACACAGAACCAGGGGATGAGTCATCTAATTGTATTTCCGCGAGATAATCTTGATTGATGAGATGATAATTCACTTTGTGGAAAGTTTTAAATTGTTGCAAAACAATCAACTTATTCAAGAAAAAAAATAACATTCCAATTTATACTAAACAATCAGTTAATTGTGAGTTAAGTTGATATAAGCAACTCTAAATCATGATGATTTACTTAACAATAATATTACAATTTATTTGAATTAACTTTCAAATGATAATAATTTACTGATGATCATCATGATTGTTGACAATTTATTAAATACATTTATTTTCCAGTAACAATGATAATAATTATATATTTACTTTTTACATAATAATATTAATCATATTGTTTGATTGTGGCAATTTAATTGGAATCATTAATTGTTTATTATTAGGTTGAAATCTTCGGGTTTCTTTCTGGTAATTAATTGTTGATCATTTTCTTATTTTACTTGTATCACTATGAACATTGATTGGTGAGTCTGATTAATGAATGAATTAAGTTTCAACAGTTGATTAAATTTGATTATATTTAAACTAATACAATTTTTTTTTCTCACAATTATTGATTTTCGTTTAATTGTTACATATACGAATTGGTTTTTCTTTCTCAATTAAGTTAATTTTTAGAGGAAAAATAGTTTGGCAAAGGTGTGACGAAACTGTTCGGACATTGTACAGTAGAGGATAAAGTTGACCGCACTGTTGATCAGCGCTAGAGTGTCCAGTATATCGCCTAAGGGATAATAGACTGCGTGAAAAAATGAATCACCAAAGATGCCACTTAATAGAGCGATGAATCCGGTGGGAAACTCGGTGGCCAAGAAAAGTAATAAAATGCTTAATAACATTCGAGTGGTTCGATCACTTTGAGCACTCGAACCTGAGTTGACGATGCTGATACTTGTTGACATTTGATGGTGCGAGGTTGCGACACTTTTAACATTTGTCTGAGGTTGAAATGGTTGAAGTGTTGTGATTGAAGGTGAAGTGATTACCGCTGCTATTGTTGGTATCGACGAGGTCGAGGTTGAGGTTGATGTACCATTGATTGTTGTCGTTGTTGATGACGGGTTTAGCTTTACTTTACGATATGGATTTACCTCTGGATGGGTCGGTGATCCTCCACCAGGAAATTGATTGTTGTTGTTATTGTGATTGGTGATTAATGGTGGGCAGACTGTTAATGAATCCTCTGAGTACTCACTTTTAACGGTTCCACCACTGGATGAGGCTAAATTGTAACAGTTTTCCTTGAGACGGCGTTTCCGTTTATCGGCCTCAAGAACTGCGTGAATTAAAGCCCAACTTAAGTAGGTCAATAGTATACAAGGCACCAATTTAGTTCCAACACTGAAAACCCAAAAGTTGATTCGTTTCAAGGATTCATTATGATTAACAGAGATATCGCTCCAATCAATCTATTGGTTGATCAGAATAAACAGAAAAACAATTAAGAATAAAATCAAGAAAATTTATCAAATTTCAGCATTTTCAATGTTCCATCATCATCATCATCATCATCGCCATGAAAATGATCATCTTGCTGATCATTGAATCGAAACTGAAAAAAAAATTGATTCCAATTATTGACCAATGATCCATTCGTTTTCTCACCCTAATTGAGTTTTACCAAAAACAAAGGAAACAATTAACTTTTAAAAGCTAAATTAGATTAACTTACAATTAAGTTAGAGTAAGTTATTGAATTTTTCATCAGGGAGGGAAAAAGTTATTGATCGATTTCAGTCTGATAATCATGAAATTTATAAATTATCAACTAACTAATAGCATCTTTTAGTTTATTTTTCGATAAATATTTAATGATAACAAGAATGTCAGAACTAAATCATGATGATGAAGTAAATTGTGTCACAAAAATTTGAAAAGAACAGAAGAGAAAAGTTTTCCGAATTGAATCAACAGAGAGAAATTGAAATAACTGTAAATTCAATTAGCAGGGTATACATAAAATTCAGTTACAGGGGAGGGAAAGTACAGATAACAATAGGATAAACATGATGGAGAACTCATAATTCAAAGTTATTACATTGGAAAAGAAGAGAGAAAGAAAGACAGAAAGTGTTAGTTTTTTATTTTCAATTCTCGAACTCGAAACATTTTGAAATTTTGTTCTAAATCAGGAAAATGTATGTTTAACCATCGATGTAAACGAGAAATTGATGAAATGAATACCACAGGGAAAAGGGAAAATTTTACATGCAAATACATCGGATTATCAGTGGATTTTGTAATTGAAATTATATTCAAATAGTCGGTGAATTTATCCATTTTCAACCTAATCCTGAGGAACCAGGATCCACTCATCCTTTGATTAAGTAAATAATTGATTCACTTTGATATTCTGGTTGATTGTTGGTCTGGTTGTTTAGTATTCAATTGATTATGATGTGGATTCAATCAGAATACATAATGTGTAATATTTATCAAAGAAAGAGAATCAGTTGATTGTGACAATGATTCTGTTAACATCATGTTTGATTATTCTGATGATTATGATAAGTGTTATCATCTATTCATGGGTTTGATCAAGATAAATGTTAATCATATTTAATACTCTTTGATTGTTGATCAAAAGGGAAAAGTGATGAAAATAATTGCTCAGATTTATTTCCAATGGATTTCATTTGATGATAATAATGATGACAAATAGATTCCGTTATTGTTATCAACAAGATAATATATCCAATCATTAAGGGAAACTGTTTCCATCTTAAATCCTTTCAATTGATATTCAATGTTGATGCTGAGATGGTCATCATCTTAGTGGACAATCAATATTACAGTTATAATAATCTGATACTCATTGACTATAATTGTCTCATGATTAACTACAGGATCATCATGATCCATTAGATATAAGAAAAAAAAAAGTTTATCCAAATTCACATTATATTTTATTCAATCAACAATCAATAATATGAGAGTGCAAATGAAATTTAATCCATTGATTATGATTATCCAATCAATTATATTCATCAACATGATTATCCTTTCATCATGATTATAATCATGATGGATCAATTTTAAGTAATCAATTCTTATATATCATCATCAAGATATTAAATAACATCACATTTGAATTAATAACAATCGAAAGTGAAAAATAAAAGTTCTAGAATTTTCAATTCGATAGTGATCAAGTTCAATCATCTTATCGTGACAATCATGATCAACAATAAGATAATTAAGTTGATACATTAACTATTCAATAATCAATTGTAGTAAAAATTTTGAAATAAATTGCTGATTTTATTATGTAAAAATCTTTCATAATTTGTTGATTGTTGACAGTGATAGTTAATCAATTGCTTCGTGATTTAATAATTTATCATCAACATAGTCTTAATCATCATCTTTACGTGATTGTCAAACTTAAAACTTGAATATTAATCAACAATTAAACTAATCAATACACTTATTTTGATGTGAATCAAATCAAGTAAATTGTTACCCAATCAGGTTAATTGTTGAAAATTTAAAAATCACATTGGCTTAGAAACTGATCAAGATGATGATTATTGATCACAAGGGATCATATTGATTTAATTGTTAACCATTAGATTTATAAATTACATTTATTTACCTTGAAAATTATCATCCGAAATCATCATAATCATTATGATCATCATTGTCTTTGATCATGATTATCGTTACTTCATTGAGACAATTTAAACTTGATTCTGTTACAGTTAATTTGGTTTCTCTTGAATGATTTAATTATAGCAATTTTAATTTACCCTAAAGGTTAATTTATATTTACTCTTTTACTAGTTAATTACTTTAGTTAATCACTATTGTTAATCATATTAAACTTACTAGCTAAGTAAATAACATCCTAACTATTGACATTGATGTTTAATTGTTCTTGATCAAGTTAAATTGTGCTCGTTCATATTACCAACAGTAATCCTTATTAATTATGTGAAACCATTGATTCAATTTTAATTATTTTCCCGACTAATTGTTACAATTTATATATTACTTAAGACAATGACTTTGAATCAAATTGAGTCAAGTGAAAGGACAATAGGATATCAACAAAGCGGTGAGTTAATTGTAATCATTATAATCCAATTGTGATCCTCTTAACTCAATCAATTGATTAACTAAATTAATTGTCCTGTTTACCACCATGAACACTTAAAACCATCAATCAATAATCAATCAATAAACATTGTTGAACCGATTAAATTTCATTTTGAAAGAAAACAATTTATTAATAGTTGTTGTTAACTAGATCACAATCAATATGAATTAATTTTACTACAATTAATTAAATTGTTTGTTTCTAATTTTACAGAATCAGAAGTTGCAGATCGACCAGTAATAAGTTTCATTTTACTTTCACTTTCAATTTTCTTGATTGTCGCTTTATTACCGTTATCATTTCTCTTCGTGATTGAGGTAAATTGTTCAAAACAACAATTAACTAATTGTTCAATGTGCAAAATTAAACTACTAAACCGATAATCCAAATCACTATCGATAACAACCAACAATCATTGGTACCGAGTGAATGAAAAAAGTTAAATGGATAACATTTGATTCATTCATAGTTTTGAGTCTTCTCACAACTAGATTTACTAATTGTTGGTCTAATCAAATAGATAATCAAGGAATATGAAAGAGCGGTCGTTTTCCGATTGGGTCGCCTAAAGAAGGGCGGGGTTGAAGGTCCTGGAGTTCATGTATTAATCCCTTGTATCGATACATTATCCAAGGTTGACCTGAGGACGATTACATTTGACGTTCCACCTCAAGAAGTAAATTGTTTCACTTAATTGTTGACAAATTTTTCTACACATTCTTAATTATGTTCACTTTTAGATATTAACTAATGATTCGGTAACGGTTTCCGTTGATGCAGTAGTTTATTTCCGTATTTGTAATCCAATCTTCGCGGTGACAAATGTCCAAGATTATCGACGATCAACCCAATTATTGGCTGCGACAACTTTACGAAATATTTTGGGCTCAAAAAGTTTAGCTCAATTGTTGAGCGAATTGGAAACAATTAGCTCAACTCTAAAAGCTAATCTAGATAAAACTACTGATTCCTGGGGAGTTAAAGTTGAACGAGTTGAAATGTAAGTAATCAGTTGATTATTAGAGGATAACAATTAACTTGATTATAATTCTCATTGCAAACAATTAACCAAGAAAAAAATCAATTGAGAATTGGTTTAAAAACAAATAGTTCACCTTCAATTGTAACCCTGGAAGTAAATTAATTACCTCGAATCATCAATATATTAATAAGTAATCAATAGAAATGATTAATATTATATTATCATCTTAAAGTTAATCGATAGTCAAATTTATTAATTTAATGGTAAATCAATCAACTAAATTTTCTGTTTTTTTTGCACTTCTATTCATTTAAATTGCTTACGATTAAAGTAAAGACATTCGTCTACCAGTTCAACTTCAACGGGCGATGGCAGCGGAAGCGGAAGCGATGAGGGAAGCTCGAGCTAAAGTTGTCGCCTCGGAGGGTGAGCAAAAAGCTTCTCGAGCTTTAAGAGCGGCATCTGAGATAATGGCCGAATCACCGGCGGCCCTTCAATTGCGATATCTTCAAACACTCAGCACAATTGCAGCGGAAAAAAGTTCAACGATAATTTATCCAATTCCAATTGACATGTTCAGTGGTTTAACTAATTTAACAACAACTAATCAATCAACAAATCAACAACAATCAGCAAATCATCCGATAATCATTAATGGCAAAAAGTAAATCAAATAGATCCAACCAAAAATTATAAAACTAAATTGTATTGATCACAATAATTTAGATTGATTATCATTCAATTCGTCATATTATTTATTAAAATTAACTAATTTAAGCATTTTTTCAAAATTAATCACAAGCTAATTGCTGACAATTAGAAGACAATTGGATAACATTGAGCTACCAGGTCACTTTGACTCAAGTTTAATTGCAGATTTGGACTGATTTTCATGTCAATTAGATTTGATTAGAATTGATTGAAAAATTTTCTTCCATAAGCATAAATGAGAAACAAAAAACTAATAGTTAAATTAACCCATTAATTGAATGCTAATTAACTTAATCATTGAAATAATCATTAGGCAAATGAAATTAACGGTGAGACTCAATGTGACTTTAATTAAGTTTTAATTGATCCGAAAAAAGTGGAAAAAAAAATTGGTAAATAATAATTGAGTTTTCATCAAATTTAAAGATTAATTATAATTTTAATTGAATCAGTAATTAATAAATTGTCATTAACATCACCATCATCATTTACTAATTGTTGAATTGGTGCAACATCAAAAAATCAACCAGTGTTAATTGTTGATTACATTTTCCACTAGTTAATTATTAATAAACAAATCTGATTATCTTAAGGTTGACATTAATTAAGTATAAAAAATATTTATTAAAACATTGATTTAAAATCAACACCTCAATGATTTAATTGTAATTGGAAATGTCAACAACTCCAACAATTAAGTTGAACAATTAAAAAGTACAAATAAAATAAAACTTTCATCAAACAAATTGAAAGCAATTAACTATTACACATGCAAAAAAAAACAATATTTAATTGCCATTGACATGAATAGCTAATCAAGTTGATTGTTGACTTAAATCATGATTAAAATGATCAACATGGAAGCTTAATTGTTAATCAATAATCAGATTGATTGTCCAGACAAAATAACATTGTAATCAACTAATAGTTTAGTTCATGTTATCAGTATGGAAACACAATTGAAAAGGTTCATTTAACAAGAGGGAAAACTCATAAAAAGTTCAGATTTCCCATGAATTCACCATGTTAACAATGCGATAATAAAATCATCTTGATTATATACAATTAACTCAAGTAAGAAAACAATTAACTTTCAACCTTACAACAATTAAATTATCCTTTGAGTGTAAAAAGTTCACAATTAATAAATTTACTTTGAGTAGGTTAACTTATCTAATATATTAGAAAAACTAATTAATTGTAAATACTCATTAGTTTTTAATTGTAATTAATCAATAAATATAATCTTAATATTATCTGAAAGGTAAAGGGATTAAGGTGAAATAATTAATTAATCATTGTTTTAGTTATTTTAATTCCTTACTAATTGTTTCTACCTTATGAATGATTTATTAATTACTCTTTGTAATTAATTGTAATCATTTGCTTTTTTCTCATAATAATTAACTTGATAATATTTTCTTAATCATTTAGACGGTTTATCATCAACAATTAGCTTGATCATAACTGTAGGATTTTATATCAATCATAACAATTAAGGTATTAATTGTCTTCTATATCCTTACCTATGTGTAGTTTGTACTAATTAAACTAATTATAATCCCAATTAATTGAATGATTAATGTCTAAATATACATTTGCAATCAACTTTTCACATCAAGTTGACAAAATAATCAAACCGTTTAGACAATTACAATCAAATCAAATTTAATTTAATTCTGAATTTGATTGATTGTTTGAAATATGTGAATTAATGATTTTATGGTTGATAACAATCAAATTCACAATTAGAATGAGTAAAAAAAAAGTTCTACTTCATCAGATTAACATTTATTTTCCATGAGGATCAGAACTTCAGGATTCCGTTATTATTATTACTCCATATGAATAATAAGAGAGGGAAAAAAGTTGAAACAATTTTTTTTCTTCTCATTCTTTATGATGAATTATTAATATTCATATTATTATTACATGGGATTCTGATTTCTCCCATGAACTTTTACTACTTCCCAGGTTATCTGATTATCAAAGTTAAGCCAATTTTTCATTCCTAAGTTTTTACATCTCAAAAAATCTGAAACACTCATTCTGACAACTTGGAAACTCAGTTACATGGAAGCAATTTTTCAGATTCTGATCCAGAATCCATGGTTATCATTACAGTTTCTCGTTTTCTTTTTACTTCGTCAAGGTTTTCATTCATATTTATTTCATTATGATTAAGATGATGATGAGGAAGATGAAAAATACACAAAAGTCATTTCCGACTTTTTTTTTATTCATCAAGAGTTTCAACATTTGTCATATTATATCATTAGAAGCTCAAGAATGAGTATAAAAAAAGTTGATAGGAATTCATGAGATGATAAATTATCTTCATGGTTAGAGTTTTCTCCCCATCTATTCATTGTTATCATGTAATTCAGCTGAAAAAGTGATCAGATGATTGTTATATTATTTGGACTAGGGTAACATTTTTTTATGGAGAATTTGGATTTTTTTTAATTTCCACCAACACAGAAATGAAAACTTTCATCCTGATTTGCCTGATAAAAAATTCTGATCATTTTCACATGATGAATTCAGAAGTAAACATTGAATAACCAATGATATAAATATAACAAGTTGGAAAAATATTTCCATCCACTTGAAAGACTTGTATTTGTATTTACCTTGATTCTTACATGTATAAACATGTTATCTGAACAATTTCCTCTCTCTCTTCATGATAGAATCCATTTCACTTCCATGAAATCTGTTTTCAAGTCACCAAGCTACTTAAAAAACATACTATTTACTTGATAATAGATAAATATTATCATGAAATCAACCGAGGAAAAACTGAATCAAATTAAATAATATTACCATAAAGACTCAACAACAAAAACTCAGAAGCAAGTTTCACTTTGAAACGTTATTATTATCATTTTCACCACTATCATACCGATCAACTGATTGCCAATTTAGTTATTTATTTTACTTAACTGATTGTTGTTTTCCTTTGTATAAATACATTATCAGGATATTACAGTTGAATGACTGATTGTCAATTGATTGAATTAAATCAAATAGTAAACAGTTGTCTAAGGCATGATGATGATAATGTTCGTGATGATGATCATGATGATGATGATGATAGTTAGTCAAATAGACTTACCTTGAAACCTCCAGCACCATTGTCTTTAACGGTAAAAGTCAAATACGTTGGCACGAAAAAAATGGGAATACAAATGTAGGTCGCAACGATTAACCAACGGGCATTGCTCATTGTACACCAGCCACGACTTTGTGTTGGAAATCTGAACAGAAAGTAAGTAAACAATTAGCTGATTGTCTTCAACCTAAATTTATTTTTCCAATGAGAATTCAAATTTACTCATTAGATGTCATCTAGAGTAACAATCATGATCATCATTGTTAGAGCAATAATCTTATGCCACATGAAAACATAACGGTAATCTTGTATTTATCATGTTGCATTCAAATCCCAAATCCCCTAGGGCATTTTTACCGTTATTTTGGTTTTCCTTGTATAAGTATACAAACAGTACAAGATTTTTTTGCTCAGCCCTGTAACCACGATGTAAGAATCAAACCTTTGCCTCTACTCAGGACTATTCAGCTATTCTCGCCGATGATTTTTCATCTTCGTGATAACTATGAGTCCTAGAGACTCGAGACTTGAACGGTATGAGTTTGATATTCAATTTTCGTATTGAAACATCAATGTCGTTCAGGTCATTGGTGAACTAACGTGTTCAAGTCTCTGAGAAGATGAAAAAACGTCCATGAAAAGCTGAATCTTTCCTCATTTATCACAACCAATTTGTTGTAATTAAAACAAAAATAAAAAAAATGATCTTCATTTATAATTGTTAATGACAATTGATACAAATTGTAGTAAATTAACATTGACTGACCTTTAGGAGGTGACGATTAAAGTAAAAACCTTAATTTACATAATTAACAAAAAAGACGGAAACATGAATTGTACAATTAACGATAGGACGAAAACTCTGATTTAACCTTTAATTCATTAATGTTGAATCACAATCAAAGTTATATGATTACAATTAGTTGACATTTACTAGTTAAATGTAAATAAAGCAGAAAATGGATAATCAGTTATCACTGTTGTCAAACAATTAACAATTAAGTTAATTTCTTTCGTTTAATTTTTCACCTCGTATCCTTTTCCTCACCATAAAGATGAGATGAAACAACACAAAATGATTATAATACTAATGAAAAGTAATCTACTAATTGTTGAGAGTTAAAAATTGAAATTCTACCAAGTAAATTAATGGGGAAAAAAATTATGATGGAAAAAAAAAGTTTCATAAACTTATTATCATTATTAATGATGATGGTATAATGATTATCATGGATGATAATAGTAATCAACATGATATAACATTCACCCTGATACATTTAATGATAATCATCAAGCATTAGGATATACAATATGAATTTACTATTGCTACTTTACTTTGTTTAAATTAATAACTCAGCAAGAAGATATTATTATTATTATATATCAGGAATATCATGAAAATGAGGATGAACTTTCTTCATCTTCTTTGCTTGGTAACATTTTGCTTGGTGAAGTGAGGTGTTAATTCAATTGTTACCAACAATTGAATTTAATTTACCATCTTCAATGAATATTACCATGGGCTCTCAGTATATATATTCATTAAAATACATGATGATATTGATAACAAAAGGGTTTATGGTTCATAATGTTTGACTCTAGGGTCGATGTGTTTGATTACATGCAGGGGAAAATGTTTAAGATTTGAATTTGAACATTTCCAGGAAGTTGGAAAATGAAACAAAAAAAAAGAGAAGCCAGAAAATTCAATGGATAATATTTGATATCAATTGAGTTCATCTAAATTCAACGGTTTGAGTTGAGAATTTAAATTCAGTGTATTCTAATTCATGTTTTTGTTTTGTTCTTCGTGATATTTGACAAACAAACAGTTCGAGAATTGATAATCAGTTGAGCGCGAGAAAAGTTTCAATTTGAAATTTGATTTTTTTCTCTCTCTTGTTTCTCCTTTTTTCCCTCTTATATTCAGTTCAATGAATTTCTAGTTTGACTTCAGTATTATTCATCGTCATCATGATCAAGAGGGCGGGAGAATCTTATTCATCTCTGTGTATTGATCTGCATTACTTTTCTTCTCTGTGAATATGTTGAAGGAGAGATTTCATCTTCCGCCTCTCACTCTCTCTCTCTCTCTCCTTGATATTAGTTGTTTTTTTCTCCCATGTAACTCACTCTAATATCTTATTTAATGCTTTTGCCATGATGATGATGATAAAAAATGATGTTTCAATCAAATCGTAAATAGATGAGAGTGGATTTGATTGGAGTGGGAAATGAATCAAATCCATTGAACCTCGATCATGATAATCTTGAAATACTATAATATTGATACTTGACCGTTCATCTTGAAATTATCAACATGATGATCAGTTTAATCGTATGAAATGATCACAATCAAATTTTTCCAAGAATCATCTCTCGAACCCTTTTGATTCAATAATTCAAATCTCAAGTAAAACTACAAAAACTTTCCAACAATTTAAAGTCGCTCGAACTAATTTCTTGCTATTAGAACATTAAAATTATTATTTACTGGATTCATTGATTTCGATTATCAATTATCCTCAACCAAAGTAAAGATAATTAACTAATTATGGTAAAAATTATTAACACTCGAGAGGTAAAGATAATTAATACCAAATTATTATGATAATAATAATGACAAAACAATTAGTTAATTGCTCAGGTTGAGCATGAATATTAAAGTTAATCAAAACTTGGATGATTAACAAGAAAAAGTCTTAATCAAATTGTACAAATAACTTTATCAATCTAATGATAGCTTATTAACAATTTCCTAAACAAGTAATTGATTAGTTAATTGTGTATCTGATTATCAATTTGGGCACAGTTATCATCACCTTAAGGGTTTAATTATCAATATTGATTAACAAAAAGCCATCAATTAAACACAAAAAACTTGATAGAAAAACAAATTAACACAATACAATAAGAGGCAAAATTTGATAAATTGTAAATGATTAAGTAAATTGTTACTGTATTAAGATACACTTTTGATACAAACCTTACTGATAAGTATCTCCAAACAGCCAAAAGTACTGTTAACCAGGTTGATATTGAATGGACAACCAGAGTAAAGTGAGCATGGAAAAGTGTAAACATTGTCCATCCATAACTGTAAATTTCATCAGCTGATTGATGAACTTGAATATAATGATGAATTGCAAAGGGAATATAATCCATCATGACCAGCATATCGGCGACTGCTAATCCAGTTAAGATATTATTGGTAGCTGATAGTAATTCCTTCCTGTGTATTGGTCAAAAATTTTATCGAAAAAAGAAAAGAGAAAAATAAATGATGACATGGAAGAAAAAAAAGTTCCATTGGTCAGTTCGATTGTTGTTTTTTCTTTTTACTCATTTTCCAAGTTCCAAATTTCTATCTTATTACTATTATTCTGATTGTAATTCTGTGTTCATATCTCTCTTTTATTAATTGTCGTTTTTACCGCGAAGTATTCACTAAATTAAACTGAATTTAGTTTAATTTAATCACAATCAACACATTGATTGTTGGTGTTAAATTGTTTCCAATTTAACTTGATATTTCATTAAACTGTATGTTAATCATTGGGTAATATTATTATCTGAAAAAAAGGATATGGTAATGAGTGAATATTTAGATAAATGTTACAGTGGAAACAATTTAATCTAATTGTAATCAATTGGCAAATCTAATTTCCTGAGTGTTGATAGCAACAATTAGCTATTAGCTATTAACCATCATAATTATCATATCGTCACAATGATATTGATTATCATGACAACCAAATTACCAAGTCAATTTTGGATAATCAATTGGTTAATGAATCAATTTCCGTATTAGTCTAATTGTAATGGACGAACAATCAAAATTAAACAACTACATTAACAATCTAAGGTACAGAAAGAAAATGATTCAATTTGAATTGTTAAACTTTTCCTTGATGATTAACTTTTTCCTTATTCTTTTTCTAGAAAATAATAATAATTCACTAACTACAATTACGATTATGATTAAATTTAATTCCAAATGAGAGAGTAACATGATCGTTACAATTGTAATTTCTTCGTAAACAACAATCAAAAGGAGTAAAAAAGAGAATAGAAACTTAAGTAAAGTTCTAATGTGGAAAATTGTTCTGAAAATGATAAGGTGAATGTCGAGGAATAGGAATCATTCATTTCCATCATGAAAAAAGTATCATGAAGAAAGTAGATTACTATTAATTTTACTTTTCTTTTCACTGATTCCAATTTCTTTTTCTCTCTCTCATGTTTGATTATCATTAAGCTCATGGAGAAGAAAAAAAAAATATTCTTCATGAAGTTCAAGTCACTTACACACATACACTTATCGTTAGGAAGGAAAAAGTATTCAGAGCACTGAGAATGAATAATCATCATGATTTAATATAATTTCATGTTCGGAATAATATTTTTCCATCACCAAATGGACAAGGAGGAGGAGAATGAATCAGAATCAGTTAACTTGATTATCGTCATGATAATTGAGCATATTAAACCATTAGCAATCAATTGTATCAGATTAATAATCTCAATCTATTTGTTAATTTACCTGATTGAAACTTATCACTGATTCAATTGGTCTAATAGTTAATCTTTGCCTCAACTTTCATTCACTGGATTCAAGTGTTAGAATGATAAATTACTACATGATTAACATGATAACTTTTGAATAGTTAATTTGATATTAAACGAAAAATTAACTATCAAATCTTTAACCATGCAAATGGTGATGATGATGATAAATGTTGATTGTTGTTAATGTGATTTAATAACTAGTGTATATGTTTTATATTAATGTTTCATGTGGTGGTAATGATACTCTGAATACTGAATTATCTTCATGATGATTTATGAATTGGTTCAGACGGCGGAAAAAAAATGAATCAATCTAAAGAATAGGATGAAAATTGTAACAATTAACTGAAAAGATAATCAACCAACATGTTTACATAGTAATATTATTCAGAGTTTCCTCATCATGGTCATGTTTTCCCATCAGAATTTTAGGAAACTTTTGGCTTATATTTACAGTTTTCTGGAACTGACCACTGTGTCCACTTACTAACATGAGAATATATTGTTTTCTTGTTAGTTATTTTTGTTAGAACTTGAAAATGAGAGAATCTGAGAGAATGTTTTCATGGTGAGAGAATTTGAGAGAAAATAAAAACTGGAATCATCTCCATGAATGAGATGAACCAATTTATTCATGGTGGTAACTGATTCTGTTCATGAAAATGTTACCTTATTTCCTTGTGAGTAGATGATGAAAATGGAAATCAAATTAATAGTTAAACTGTGTTGATGTGATGCAGATAAAAGGTGAATGATAATGATCATCATGAAAAAGAAGCCTGTAAATTCAGAGGAATGAAAATTCAGGAAGATATAAAGTGAGAGGAAAAAAGAGAGAAAGAAAAAGATGATATTTATTCATGTGGAAAAAAATATATTCATGGTAACTAAACTTTATACACTGTATTACATAAGGAAGGAAGATGAAGAAGAATTATAATTCTGTCAGAATTATCAGAATTCAACCAACGAAGAGTAAAAAACGATGTTCATTGTTGTTTTTTATATTTTCTATTCGAATTCAATTCTTTCTGTAGAACTTTTTCTTCTTCTTCTTCTCTTGGTTCATCTTCTTTTCATCAAATTGGTATTTAAAAATATGATGATGATAAAGATGAAGATGATTCAATTTCCATCATCATTTACTCAGCATCTTTTCATCATCAATTTGTTGGTGGAAAATGAAAATGATCAAAAATCATGAGAGCAACAATTTTGCTCCTTCATGATACTATTACATAAGAGTAATTCTGATTAACTATTGACAATTAACTTAACGAGTCACCAATTAGATATTATTAATACAATCTTATTATGGTAAATTTAAATAATCTCATTCTAATTGTAGTAATTTAATACAAATTAAAAGGATTAACTCATTGACTTTTTCATGATGATTAGGTTGAACAATTTTCTCCTTCAAATTGTATTTAATTAACGTGTTAATCATTTAGTTTAATTAACTTATCAGGAAATTTGATATTCTGAGGAAAATGTTAATCATGAGTGTGCGTTAATTGGCTAAGATACTCTGTAGCTTTTTAATTAAAGTTTCATCATCATTTCCGATTTAATTGATTCCTCATTTAATTATCATGTAATTTGAGGTATTCAATGAAAGATTGTCAACTCGAGTTTTGTTTGTTTCTTATTAGGTTTCAATGTATTCAAAATTTTCCCCTGAAATTCAAGAGTCTCTTCATGTAACCTGTTGCTGAGAGATTTCCTAAAAATTGATAGCTCAATTTTCAAAGGTAAAACCTTTAGGATAATGAGAATTCACTTAGATTCTGATTGAGAATAAATGATTTATCATGAAAGGAAAAATGGACTATCGTCATTATCATCAACTTGGAATAATATTTTCACTACTAAATGATTTTCATGTTATTCAGACAAGGAGAAGATAATTGAAATCAACTGAATAACAAACTAATTGGAGATAATATTTCAAACATTTCTGAATATTCAACTGATTCTGTTTATTGATCATCATTATTATCAACTGAGTATTTTTATCATGAATGAATATGAATCGTATTACATTTCCAATGATTGTAATCAGATAATTGTATGGAAATAAACTAGAAAACAGTAAGATTGATGATTAATAATGAATAAAACTAGAAAACAAAATCAGAAAAAACTTTTTTGATTGTTGGTGATCAGTAAATTGATATGATTTAGGTAAACAATTAAGGATAGTAATCAACTAAATAAGGGCAATGAATATTATTACAATAATAATAATATTATTCAAATCAATAATCAGTAATCAGTTAACTAACCAATTGATTTGTGGTGAGTTGGTTGATTATCATTGGAAATCACATTCAACTGAAACTGTTAGTCTATCAGAATGTTAATTACTCTTTATAGTTGATTAACTGCAATCAACTCAATATTATTGCTATTTAGTTTAATAATATATGCAAATCACATTGTGCTCATAATTAAAGTCTCAACTATCATGGGAACTCACAGAGCTGAAACAATTAAAACCCTGAATCTGAACAATGTTTCTTGATAATCATTATCATGATAATACTTTTCTATGATTAAATTCAATGTCTCTTTCACTTGTTCAAGAATTAAGTTTATCTTTATTCATATTTCATGATGAATTTCATGGGGAAAAAAATATTCATACAACTTGAATGATTAAATTGAACACATTTCAAGTTAAAAATACACAATTAACAAATCAACTTAATCCATTTTAATCTGATAATGTATTAGTTGACGATTATTATTATTATTACATTTGAAAGTTTATTAATCCACCCAAATGGATAAAAATATAAAAAACTTTAATCTAAAATCACTCAACTTATTGTATGAATTTTTCACTTCATCTCATGAGTACAACGATTATAATTTTAATCTTTAATTGTTATTAGTTAAATAACAACGGATTAACAGTTCACAACAATTAAACCTTCAATCAATCAAATGACCTGCACAATTAAAAATTATTATAATCAATAAATTGATTCTCATCATTTTAAATTGCGCCTTTGCTGTTGATAATTTACAACTTTGTCTTTACTGAGATCAACTGAATTTGATTAAAGTGTGAATATTATCAGTTAATGGTTGATTGCATTGACTAATTTTAGATTGACAATTAATTTAATTTTAGGTATGAAATGTTAATTAATTACCTTGTAAGTACAATTATATTTAGTATATTAGTTACGGTGCCAAAGAAACAGATACACAAACTTAAATATCCATGAATTGAACTGTATTGATCCTTAAACTTGAACAAAGTTGATGAAATTGAATTAAACAAATCACTTGAATTATCAATTGGATTATTGTTGATTGTGATATTACAATTAACACAATTTGTTGATTGTTCATAATTTGAATAAAATGAAGTCACTGTTGTCGATTGGGTTGTTGTTACCTGTGTAGTTTCATTGAGTAACATCATCTCATTTATATTAATGATTCCTGGTGGTGTTGATGTTGTTGTCGGTGATGATGATGATGATGATGATGATGCAGATGATGCTGATTGTGGTGGTGGTGGTGGTGATGAAGGTGATGAAAAAGGTTGCGGTAATGGTGATGAAGATGCTGTTGATGCATCTATCATCATGTTAATGATGAAGGTCAACAATTGAAACGACACTTTGATGAAATAAAAATTCAATCAATTTTACGAGGAAAGAAAAATAATTAACTTCAATCAGCTAATTGAAAACTTCATGATTATAAATAGAAATCATATTAATAATTAAAATGGATAAACACAGGTAACAATTAGTGGATTTTGTTAACAATTAGAGAGACACAAATTGTGATGACAAACTAGAAATGAGTAAGAAAAACACAAAAGAGGTTTGATCTTGGACAGTGGTCACTAAAACCAGATCGTTATCTTATCACCAAGATGATTAAGTTAACACCGATGATGATAAATGTTCAGCATTTGATAATAATGATAAATTATCAGTCTTCAATTTGAAAAGATGTGATAAAATATGAAGACATTATCATGACTGTTAATGGATAACAAGTGATGAAGTTTAACCCATGGAACTTTTTTCTTCTCTCATTTTCTCTCATTCCAGGAATGATTATCATCTACAGAACTTTTCTCATTGTCATCCTCATGAACATCATCATTATTTATCTTCTACCATTCGAATATTTTCATTTTTTTCTCTTTCTCTCTCTCTCACTTACTTTTTCTTCCTTCTTATTCAACTAATCTTCTTGTTCGCATCTTCATTAAACCCTGAGATGAAACAAAACCCACTCCGATCATCGATGGTGAATAATCATCACTCTCAGTTACACAATCAAATTTGGAATGAGTCGAAGTCATGGTTATTCCAAGATTCATGGGGAGAAATGAATTTACGATAACTCATGAGCAAGAACTTTTTCCTTTTCCCATTAGAACCTTTTAAGGTGAATTCTGTAGAAACTTTCATTTTCTTGCCCTTCGAACGCCATCTAATGGTTCTAATGGCCATTCGATGAGTTCATTTTATCGGTGCTCAGAATATAACATGGGAATCATAATCAGTTTATCCTCACATGGGAAATTTTTCATCTAAAAGGTTCAAATTGTGTTCGAGTTGATGATAATTTCATCAGTCGATTCAGCAGAAAACAAAACTCTCAATGAATTTACAGTTCGTAGGTTTAATTGTATTGCACAATTTTATTTGATCAATTGAATTAACCTAGTGTACAATTTATTGATTGTTGAATCGTTTTATTAACCAACAAAAGTTAATTGTGATAATGACACTGATTATTTTGGTTAACGATTACAGCAATCGAAACAAAGTAGATTCATGTTAGAAGGTCAAGTTAATTACAACAACAGGAAAACAACAATTAAACAACAATCAAAACAAACTATTTAACAATTTAAAATAATTAGACCCAATTAGAAACTAACTAATTACTGATTTAATCAATCCATCAAAGTCTAATCCAATTAATATTAGTATTGATCAATTCCGATAAAATTGATTGATTGTTTTTAATCAACTGAGGTAAAATTAAACTTATTAAATGATTAAATTTAATATTAATTGTTTGATTGTTGTCCCTGAAATCAAATCAAATCAAATCAAATTGTTAGACCTTGAAGATGGTTAACTAAATCAATTTGGGTTCCTGATAAAAAAAGTCAAACGTTTCAAACAATTAAACTCACAATTAAAAGCTTAATGATTAACTAAATAATTACAAGAAATTAAGTATATAATTAACATGTTTTAAGGTAAAAGTTAATTGTTGATTAACCGTGAGTGATTAAGATTGTAAATACTTCCGGCTGATTGGTAATAATAATAATCTGAACAAATTAATAAACTTTCCCAATGATTGACTAATCATAAAATCATCAAGCTAATGATGATAATTGACATTATGTATACAATCAGTTTAATTTAAATTGTTACCCATTTAACTACAATTAACTTTCACTCTCTTTTAACCAAATTGTAATACTCACGGTCTGTTAACTGTATAATGTAAGTTCAATTGTGTTGATTAAGTGATTAAATCAACTTACCACCAAATAATTTTACCTACAATCAAATTGATCCCTAAAATTAAAGACAAACTAATCTACTTTACAATCAGACTAATTGTAATAAGATAAACTGAATTAAATATATGTACAAACTGATATAATCAAATCAAATTAAATCTAATTGTTAACAGAAAAACAAAAACCACAAGAAGCAAAAAAAAACATAAAGTTTATCATTTCAATCTGATTGATTATCATGATTACTATTATTACAATTGCGATAGTAAAGTGAGAATCAAATTAAAAAGGTTTCGTTAATTGTTGTCCTCAAAGCCTTAATTTTTACACAACAACAATTATAAACATGAAATCTATTAGTTAACAGCAACAACAATTAACTTAACAACGATAAAAGGTATTAAACAAATAGTAAGTTGATCTAGTTTTCAATTTGTTAATTCTTGTTCCGGTTCATCAGTGATAATTCATGGATTCGGTTAATTGTTACAATCAACAATTCGCGGTCGCGAATTTAAATTTGTTACTTTAACGAAAGGGCGTGAAAAACAAAAGTTCTAACTCGTTTTCGAGTTAGTACATTTCGATATTTCGATACTTTCACTCTCTCTCTCGCTCTCTCTTTTTTTCCTTGATTACACTTTGCAAATTTCGTTGTCACTTCACATTTTGTTTACCACCGAGTGAGTGTGTGTGTGTGTTTATGTGATTTATATTGTCCATTGGTGCTCATTATATGAACACACACCAACCAATTCACCACCGCGAATGAGATTAATCAACAAGCTTCATTTGTGTAATTTACCCTTTAACCCTAACCAAGTTAATACCTTGACTTTGAAAAGCAAGGATAGTTACTTAATTGCAATTGGCTTATTGATTCTCGAATCAACTAATTTAATGTTCAACAATCAGTGATTATAATCAACATTCATCTAAATTATTCAATTGGATTCTCTCTACATGTGATTAAATTGTGTATCAATATTTAACTGTTTCATTTGGTTCTTATATTGATCAATAAGAAAGGATTTTCATCTCGCTCATTAATTAATCAACTTTTTCTCACTCGAAATAATAAAACTTGGAAATTATATTAACAACTAATAACAATCAATTGATTAACTATGCCCATGAAAACTGATTCAGATTTTTTCACCAAAAATAACAACAATCAAAGTGCTAATCAAGTTAATTGTGTTAAACTTTTACTTATTATGGTGATCACATTATCCCTTGTTAATTTGATTCATTGTTATGATCGTTGTGGTAAGTTGATTAATAATTAAAATTAACTCTTGATTGTTTCACAAGATTGAGTTACAATAAGGTTTCATTGAGTTTATTAGGCTATGATTAATTAATTGTTACAATCTAAATATAATCTTACATTTTGTTTCAATAGTTTTCCAAGTTTATATTACTATTTGAAGTAACTTTTTCAGGGTAAATTCACAATTCTGTCAATTCATTTTTCACCATAACCATAAAATGAATGATTGTCCAATTTTATTATAAAAACAATTGATTGTGTCAATCAATTGTCAGTAGTTAAAGGTTAGAATGTATATAAATCAATTCTTTATATTATCTTGTTATTATTTGAATTATATCTTATCATCAACTTTTTCACCATGAGACATGATATTAACTTTTTTTTATCTGTCTCATCCTCTGGTTAAAGGTTATAATTTGAATATAATAATACAATCAGTTGATTGTTGACATTTGACAGAACAAGAAATCATCCTGACAAATTCAAATACTTTCAGTCTCTCTCCGATATTCATCCATTTTCACCATGATAATGTTAATCATCATGTAACTGAATTTGAATGTCATGTAGTTTGTTTTTTTTTGTTATCAAATTTTTCTCACTTTCATATCATTTAACTCAGATTGTGGACGAACCGGAATCCAAAGGCGTGTCTTTGGTGGTAATGAAACATATAACAACCAATACCCATGGATGGCTCATCTCAGGTAAATTTCATGATGAAATTTTCTCTTTATACTGAATACTTGGAATGGTTCATATCATAAACGAAAATTATTATTATTCTTTTCTTTCAATTTGATTGGAATATAGTGGAACAAACTTTCAGCCTAGCATATTAATTCATGGGAATTCGCAAGAAATAATCATGAGTCTAGGAATTTTCTCAGATTTTCGATATAACTCAGAGTTTACTTCTTACTTTCTCTTTTCATTCTTACATAAATATCGTCTAAAGAAGTAACCTTTTCATGGAGATTTTCCATGAGAAGAACATGAGGATAATAAAGAAGAAGAAAATCAATGATAATGGAATTTTTTTTTTCTTCTAAGGAGAAAAATTTTTTTCTCCCATTGTAATAAATATCCGAAAGTTCATTCATGGAGATATGAGTTTATTCAGATTCAATGAACTACACACATTATCCACATATACACAATAGAGACTCAGGAGAGTTTAATCTTGGATATTATTGAATATGCAAATTCGAGGATAGAGAAAGTGGATTCGAAAAAAAGTTCTAAAGAAAAAGTTGGATCAAAGTTGATTAAAGAATATTCTAATTCTATGTTCCCTATGTTCTAATTATGATTATCTCTTCAATCAACTCAAGATTCAAATTGATTGTTGATCGTAATTTAGTTAAATTGTTTCAAAAAAAAACAAACTAAACTTAATTATCTTACACCAATTAACTAATCATAATAACTGAATAAACAATTAGCTCAATTGTGTATGATTAACTTTCGAGATTGTTTCTGATTAAATATCTGTGTAAAGCTGTTGATTTGATTATACAATTTAAATTTTTAACAATTAACTTTGATTTGTTGAAAAGGAAAATGTAAATTATTTCAAGTCAATCAAATACCAACAAATGATTTAGATTTTATTTATCATTAAATTGTTTCTTCCTGATTGTTGATTAGTTTTTCCAAGTTTGCTAATGTTAACTCAATGTTAGTTGTTTAAATTGTAACAATCATCATCATCACAATCAATTGATTACCATAATCCTTGTATCCATGATACTTTGATTAAATCATCAAACATATACCAAGTTCATTAAAGTTTAATTTAAATACTCGAGTTGATTGATTATCTCAACAATTAAAACTAATGAAACGATTTATAATTAATAACAACTTGATTAAAATCACTATTTCATTATTAAGCTGATCGATTTTATTTTAACAATCAATTAAATAGTATATGCATTGATTAATTAACGACAAAGTCATTAAGTTGATCAAATTAAATTGATTGTCCCAAAGCAAAATCAGTTAATTATGTTCATTAATCATGATGATAAATATCAGAATTAAGTTTATTATCAATAGAAAATGAGAAAAAAAAATTTGCCTTGAATAGTTGAATGAATTAAGTTAATCAACACAATCAATTGGAACAATTAATTATTTGAATGGTGTAATTGAAATTGAAATTTTCTTTTCCAATTTCAATCAGATTTTATGATCACGTTGGATCAACTCAATACGGTTTATGTGGTGGGTCATTGATTGACCATCAGCACATTGTGACCGCAGCCCATTGTGTCCATGACGCTTCGGGTAACCCTCGAAACGTTGACGCAGTCCATGTTTACCTTGGTGCCCATAATCTGTACCATTTACCGAAAGTCCGTCGAGTTGAGAAATTTATTCTACCCAAGAATTACAACTTCGAAAGGCCAGTTCACAATGATTTTGCCGTTCTCCGTTTAACCAAACCGGTCAAGTTTAACGATAAAGTTTCACCCATTTGTATACCAAAGACGGACGATGAACCCTATCGGAAACTCAGGGTAGCCGGTTGGGGTCATCTAGGTCCAAATCAAAAGACGGCAAAGATATTACAACACGTTGACGTTTATCACGTAAAAAGTAGGTCAAAGATCAATCAGATTGAAACGATTCAATTTTCGTTTTCTTTTCTAAATCTAATCTTAATCTCTCACCAATTGTCTAGATAATAAATGCTACGAGATGGTCAAGGATTATATCTACAGTAACTACGCTGTTGTCCGTCGTAATCCGGAAAAGTATAAGATCCCTCCGATCCACGAGAATCATATGTGTGCCGTTGACGGAAACACCGGTGGTGACGCTTGTCAAGGCGATTCGGGTGGACCATTAATGTACCTTAATCCAGGTAACAATCGCTTCTATCTGATAGGTATTGTATCGGGTGCTTATGATCAATGTGGTGATAAACATACACCCGGTTTCTATACGCTGGTTCGTAACTTTAGATACATGGTCAGAGATTTAGCACCAAATAGTCATATTTGTCATTATTAGATCAACAATTAACTAATTTAGCGCAAACAATTAACATCTCATCAAATATTGAACATTTTTTTTTTCATTCACATTTGTTTCCTGGATTAAACTAATCGTGACAATTTAATAATCTCTTGTATAATAGTAATTTGTACATCAATATTTCCAACAATTAATAATTGTTAATTGTAAACCTTGAGACAATTTTTTTTTCTGTTTAAATCTAATTGTAAACTTTATATACATGTATAAATTAAAGCAACTATTTATTAATTGATTTTCATTCTGCAATCATTATTATCCTTTTGATTGTGATTAGATTGTTGATTGTTGATTGATCGTGGATCCAATCACATATCCTGGTTGATAGATTGTCGTGTTGGTCAACTTTTGTTGCTACGATTGGAAATCAATTGAGTTCAATTACAGCCGATGAAAAAAAGAGATAGGAAATCATTTTAGTTAATTGTGATTTAATTACGTTAATCATTTAAATTTAACTACCGATAATAAATAAGGTGTAAATATTTTATCCAGCTAAATTAGAGATGTCTGATTACACCAACATAATATTATCATGAACCCTAAAAAAACAGGAATCTTGAATTAGGACTAAAGGACTGACCCTAATAATAGTACATTTAGTTGATTATGGTGATGATGAAGATGATGAGGATGAAGATGAGGATGAGGATGATACTAATAATGATAATGTTTTAAAAGGTCAATCTGAATATAGCTGAAAAATTGAGATGCTGGCAGTTTAAGTTGATCGTGGATCCAGTTAACATCATCTATTGAAACGTTTACCTTTCATTTCAGTTTGAAACTTTTTTTTACTCAGAACTTTTTTTCCTCATCAACCAAATTCACAAAATGAATAAACAATTAGTGTTGTGTTTGATTGTCATCACCTTAATGGTCAGTTACATTTCAACTGCATCAGTAGGTACCAAAGGTAAGCGTCAAAATTAGTTAATTGCTTTTGTTTCTCTCTCTCTCTCTCTCTGCATGTGATTCCTATTCAATACGATTATCATGTTTATCTGATCATTTCCATCATCACCATGATCTTTATTCAATGTCCATTTTTTTCTGTTTCCTCTCTATTCCTTGGCCATTTACCGAAAAAATTAGATGGATCCAATGGATCAAATGGATCACCCAATAAGGACGAAGACCCTAAGCCAACCACACCCGGTGGATTAGCTCAGCAAAACTTGAATCGCATTCGAGATATAATCCGATACATTCCCGACAGAATATACAACGCATTCAATGGTATGATCAGCAATGTGGTCATGGGAATATCGTCAATGCAAAACGCTGGTTAAACGTTTTTACACGAGTTCCAAGTTTTTTTTTCTCAATCAATCTCTTTCTCTCAAGTAGAAAATTAAATTTAATTGTAATAACAAACAATGTCTAACAATTAACCCTGTGATTACATAAACATCAATGTGCAAACAAATAATATTTAAAAATAAAAAAAAACTCCAAATTTTGACTTGAAAACTTTTCTTCTAAGATTGAAAACTTGATTATTACAAATTACCGATGATAATTAACTTAATTAACATGTATAATCAACTAATATACTTTGTGTATTATATAATATACACAAGATTACAATCTAAATTTGGACTTTAACGATAAAAGAAACCGGAATGTCGGATAAACGATGACCCTAATAGTTGATTGATAATGACACACATACGATAGCGTTTAAATTGTTGATGTGTATATATATCAACACTTAGGCACTTTTTCAGTTCACTCAAGTTCAATTCCTAATGTTTCAGTTCAATTTAATCCGATATTTGTACCTAATCACATTAAGACAAGTACACAAGAAAAAAACATTCAACTCAACCTTAACTTGTATGGTGTTTATCAGCTTAATTGTTACAATTACTGTGGCTAAATCAATTGGTCAATGAGTTAAACGGATATAAATACTATCAATTGGTCAGTTTGTTAATGTTAATTGTGACTAATTTCAATTTTCTTTCTATCCTTTGTGGTCAAAACAAAGTGTCGACCGTTAATTGTGGTTATAATCAAGGATCATCGCAATTAACTTTAATCCAGTTGAGATAATCAAATGGATACCTGGTTATGTGATTAAATTAATAAGTTATATATATTAGAGAGATACATTTGAGTTTCCGATTGGTGTGTTTGGCTGGAGTAATTAACTAATTGTAGATAGCGACTCATGTGAAATAAGATTCTAATTAAAGATTAACAATAAACAAGATTATGTTTCTTATTAAATCAATCAGATTAACTTTCTAAACAGGTATTTTTGATTAAGGTTAATCTTGTATATGATTGATCAACATCTTAATCGTGTAAATATCAACGTTACAATCAATGTTGATTATAAAACTAATTGTTTTTTTTTCTGGTTGATTACAAAGGATGAAAACCTGATCATTGGAACTATTAATCAGATGAAACTGGATTTAGTAAATTGCTGCCTGATGATGATGATGATGATGATAGTTAGATATTGATTACATTAGTTAATGTAATGAAACTATCAAAAAAAAAGGGTTAATTAAAAACAATTTGCTACGTTGACAAAATCAAGTTGAATCTAATTGAATGACTGGTCAAGCTAATGGACAAGACCAAGTGGTCAGTATTGATTACAATTGTCCTAAGTTTAATGAAAATTTAATCACGAGTTAATTGTGAACACAATCAACATCTAATTGGAGCTTAATTGTTGACTCTCCCTCTCGATTGATTTGCTAATCATGAATCCTTAAATTATTATCCCTGATCTGTTTGAATGTTTATCGCAAATTAATCAAGCTTAATTGTTGATATTGATCCTTGAATTGGTGTAAATTTAACTGATTAATATGAGAGAAAAATAAAAAGAGCTGCAATTTAATCTGATACAATCAACTGATTACAATCAAAATGAAAGTTTTCGATATAAATAATTAATCCATAAGTGGCTTATGAAAGAGGATATAAGAAGATGGATTAACTAATCAACAGATTGTTAATCTTAATCATCAGTTAGTTTGTTGAATAATATTGAGCAATCAAATTAAAAGCCACAAAACAAAATTGATGTAAACAAATAAATTAAAAGATAAACAAGTTTATAATTAACATGAAAAAAAAGTTTACGGAGAGTTAACAATTTACTAATCAATGATTAACATCATTGATTGTAACACAACAGTGAAAGTGGAAATTGATTTAACACAAGTTTATATTAGATGATGAATTTTGATTGTGTCAACCAATTAAAATTTAATTGAATTAATTTCTCTTTGAACGATAACGAACTTGAAAAAAAATTTAACTAATTCTGATTGTAGACGATAAATGCAATCGCTTTAATTATAGTAACAAAGTTTTACCGTTAATGTCCAAAAATAAGAGGATGACACGTTAAATATATACACACATTCACTTTTCGGTCGGAACTCGTGAGTGACCCGTATTGATGGACATTTATAGTGGTATAAAAAGGCCTACAAATGAATGAAAGTGTAGCACTTATAATTTGATCGTTGATCGAGTTTGGACAAATTAACGGAAAAAGAAATCAGAGTCAATTAAAACACCATGAACATGAAACCAGCGATTTTCATTTTCTTGACCATCATTGTGATGACCAGTGCAAAGTCGCTCGTTCAATGTAAGTAAAAATCTTTGTCATTTATTTTCCCTCGCGTATTCGTGTAGTGGTCAGTTTTAATCGTTTTTTTTTGTTCTTTCTCGTTTTCTATTTTGTGACATTAGCCCAAATTATCGGAATGTCCATTGATAAGATGGACAAGGAGGGAACTAATCAACACAGTGTACTTAAAATTAGAGATGCGGCCAAATTGATTACCAACGATATCGCCAATACTGCTCGAAATATCATCTTATTACCCGCTCGTTTAACTATGTTATTGGTAAATCGACCTAATCGGCCCAATCGGCCGATGCGTTTCCTTCGTCCACTACTTTCGGTGCTCAATGGACAATCTCTTTCAAACAGTATTCCAGCCGCTCAAGAACCTGCGACATCAAGTGTACAAAGTACAACAAGTACTCCAGTCGTAGGACCAATTATAATACCGATCGCTGGAACCATGTGAAAAGTTGACCTTATCCCGTGTTCGAAATGGTGTTCCGATCATATTGGAAAATGAACAAAAAAAACACCACAATTTTTTTCTCCGTCAATATTTTTTTCGAATCGTTTTTTTTTCTTCCCAAATTATTTGATATTAACTTTGGTTCCTAACAATTAACGTCATCTTCTTCTTGTCTTCGTCTTCGTTGTGTCCAATTTACTAATTGTAAATATCGAGAAAATCAAAATCTCAAGTACAAAAATTTGTCCCCTCTCTAGATCATCCTTGTGACCACTGTCCAGTTAATTGTTCTCATTTACTGTAAATTTTTCCAACTTGATTACTTTTTTTTCAATTAAAAAAATTGATTATAAATCAAAAATTCGTTAGTCAATTGATTTAAACTAATCAAGTTATTCTTGAAATAATATCGACAGAATCAGCTAATTGTTGTATCTTTTTTCCTGGCAACGGGAATATTGATTTAGTTAATCGTTTGATGGTTAATTGTCACAGTTTCTGATCGTTGAGAAGTGAAAATTGAGCTTATCGATTAACTATCGGTAAAAAGTGAAAGTTTTCCGTAACAAAACTGATTTAAAACTGTTTGTAATTTCACTTTCACTGGTAATCAATATGTTCACCAATCAATATGTTACTGTACATATTTAATTTAATTGCTACTTAGTCTTGCCAATTACAAGTTGATTAATATGTTCGGTCTCTGGATAAATTGTAGTTGTTTTTTCATCTTCTTCAGGTAATTTGACAAATATCTTTCTAATTAATTTATGAAGGTTCTTTTGGATTCTTGGATTCCTTGGAAATCAGCTGGTGGATCAGGACCTTCAAGATGATAACCCATGGGTGCTATTTGAACAATACCTGCAGCTTCATCTCTAATTTGATCATCAATCATTATTCTAGATGGGGCATTATCGATTGGTGCATAGAACCAGGAAGCAGAATCTTGTTTCTTTGACATAACACTTTCAACTCGATTTTTTAACCTCATGATAAACTCTTGCTCTCTTTCCAAATACTCCGTAGCCAATTGTTGCTCATACATTATCCTTGGATCACCGAAAACATGCTTAGCCAGGAATCTTCTTATTGGATGTTTATCATATTCCCAATGTTCTGGCTCATATCCTTCCGGTATATCAGCTAATTCAGCTGGAGCTATTGAATGAAAATGAAATATAACAAATGTAAAAGAAGATACAAATTCAAGATTAGAAAAAAACAATTTCAACAGGGGCACAAAATCAACAGATAAAGTATCAAATCAACTATACCATGAGTTAAATTGACCCAGATGATCACCGGTATACTAGTAATTAATCCAATCGAAAAATAAAAATGAATTAAATCCAATGACTTTTTAAGAGCATAATTAGAACCTTCAACGTTCATGTTACGTCCATGACTCATTCTTTTAATATTTAGATTGACCAAACGAGCTCGAGTCAAGGTTGGAGCAATGAACGAGCTTAATTTACTAATTAAGGCCATAATTGCACAATTTAGAGAGTTAAAAACACACGAAACAATTAAGGAAACGACAATCAATTCAATGTGAAAGTGACTTTCACACAATCAAAACAAAGACCATTTTGTTTTGGAGAAAATGATTATTTCGTCCAATAGATGGCGATGTGAATTCTTTTTTCTGCCAACTTTAAATTGTTGCGAAAACTTTTTTGTTCAATTGTTATTTCTGATTCGTAATCATAACAAGTTAACCAACAAACTCTTGAACAATCAGAACAATTTAACTCGACGTTTGTTAATTGTGAGTCCAGTTTTCGTTTTTCTCCACATCAGTTAGTTGGATTTTCCTTTTAATTTGATTAAATTTTTTTGTGTAAATAAATTAAATTTAATGAGTTACTTTTTTTTACCTTTACAAATTAAAAAATGATTAATTGTTACAATTTAATTCCTTGATTACTTTTCATATCTTTGGAAACTTTTTAATGTTCTCGTGCCTTTTTCCATATCAATTAACCATAATTAATATTTATATTTGGCGAGGATTTAACTTTAATTATCTTAATTGTCACCGGTTTCATTGTTTACATCAATATGACAACAACAATTAAAACTAAAACATTTGAACAGTTAATTGTTACTATTGGTTTATTGTGTTGTATATCATTTTACCTGAGTGATAATCAAATCCTATGGAATAAGAAACAACAATCAACTGATCATCATCTAGTCAATTCACAATTTAGACTATTAACTTTACCATTATCATCAAATGAGTGTGTTAATTGTAATCATCGGAGTAAAAGATCAACATATAAATCACCAGCAATTTCATCATCAGGTAAGTTAATTAACTAAATAAAACTATTTCTTAACTTTAATTGCTAAATTAATCCAATCATCAATTGTGATCATAGGAATTACAATCAATCCAGTACAACAATCAACTCTATTCCTCTCTCTCCTTGATTGTTGTATCAATCCCTTTAATCATCATTATAATGATACCTTAATTGTTACCATTACATATACAATTTCATCCGAATGATAATCAAAAACTGTTAATCATTTGTAATTTATATAAATTTAAATTGTTAACTATTAATAACTCTCATCATTGGACAAATATTGATACAATCAACTTTCAGGATGAAACAATTAACTATGGGCTTGATTGTAAAATCATAGTGATTAAGAAACAATCAAGGAATAAAAATAAAATAAAAATTAATACAATCAAGATAATCAATGTAACCCAATGATAATTAAATCATCATAATCAATGAATCAAATTGTATTATTACTTATTATCCTTTTGATTACAAATCTTTGATTAATACAATTTGATTTGATCAGGATCAATAAAGTACAAAATTAATTAATTTAATTGTATGGACAAGGAAAAGCAAAATTAAATAATAATAACACATTAAGTAATCAATTAAGTCCTAAATTTTATGTTTAACTTGTTGAACAATTTAATTGCTAATTAATCAACACTCTGGTTAACTTTCAACTATCAAATATCTTTGATTGAAAAGTTGAGGTGAAAATTAATATTCAACAATCAATTTTTAGTATTAAATGATTATGATTAATATCCCACCTTTTAGCCTTTTAAACTGACCATTAGGTGTGGTGGGTCAGTTGGGGGGTGAACAATAATGCACCACCACTGTCCACCCAATGGTCAGTACTCACAATGAATTAGATTGATTAAGAAACAATTAATAATAATGTTGATAATATGATGAAATTGATAGCAAATTGATAAATTGTTTTGATCAGTTTTCTTTAGGATATAAAATTGTTACAATTTAAAATAATGGAGAAATAGATAAAATTGATTTAATTGTAATTGTTTATAATTGTCTTCGTTAATCATTAAATGGACACAATTTAATCGGTTCAATTACTTTAACAATCAAAGGGATAACTTAGATTCCATATAAACAATTAATTCAAACTAAATTAATCTGATTTTACAAAGATGAGGTTTGATGATCAATCAAAGTTAACCAATAAACAAACAACAATTAATAATAACAATTAACTCACTGAAATACAATTAAAACCAAAAAAAATCAGTCAACAATTAAGGTGAATGATTAAATTGCTGATATTGATTTTAATCATTTGATCAACTATTTTTAATTGTCAACAACAATCACATGGTTGTGATGATGATCAATTATTAGGATAAAGATGTTAATTTAAATTCAGGAACAGACAAAAAATTAATCAACAACAATTTATGACCTAATTATGATTGTAATCAGTTGTTTGATTATAATCAATATACTGATTAATTTGATTTCTCATCTTTTAATCATCAATTGAATCAATAAGTTGATTGAATGGAAACGATTGATTTAGTTGTTGATGATCAATTTTTTTCCTCAATTGATTCTTAATCACAATCAATAATATTATTCAATTTAAATCATCAAGATATAATGATGATATTGATAAACTTTACAATTAACTTTCCTTTTCTTAACAATATAAATAGATGATGATGATTATGTTGATTGTTGATTGTTGAAATTAGTTCAACTCCAGGTTGGTGATTATAATTACTTTAAATCATATTGATCATAATCGGTAACAATTTAAAACTTAATTGAAAACCTTTTCATCCTGATTAACTTTCACTTTTTTTGCTGTTGTTAATCAGTAAAGTTAATTAATCATCAATCAGAAATTGATTGATATTATTATTATGATGATGATGATGATAATTCAATAAAGTTAATCAGATTAATTAAAATTAAATTCACATTGATTAAGTTAATTTGTTTAAAAAGAGAAAGTTTATTTTTCTTAATTGTTAAGTTGATTAACAATTTCAATTAAACTGATCAACTTCCGTACTTTGATGATTAACTATTTGTTTGGTTGATAATATGTTGAAACAATTAACTTGATGATTTAGTTAATTTTATTGGTCAGCAATCAATAATAATCAACACTTTCAAATTAAGGATTAAACTTTAATCGTGATTAATTTTAACAATCAAGATGAAACTTTTCATACCAATTGACAATATAAGATTATGACAATGTAATAATAAATATAAGTAATTAAGAAAAACTTTTTTCCAACAATTAATCTGATCATTGATAATTGATTGTTGTACGATTTGATTGTTTAACTTTAATTAAGTTAATTGGAAACGTTAATCACAATCAGAGCTACAGTAGTATCAATTTAATCATCAAAATCTGACCTCAAACTTTTTTCTGATAACTTTAACTTATTATTATTCATAACAATTAACGATTATCATGTTAATCATTAATTGTGATTTAGTTTAATCATCATTAAAGTATAAATTTCACTTAATCTCACCCAAAAATCAAGGTGAAATTAAGTTAATTGTTGTTGAATAATATTTTCTATTGATCAATATTGTCAGTAAGAGCTAGAGAATTAGTTAATTGTGATTCAACGGAAGTGTCTGGTCAGTTAATTGTTGGAAAAATATTGAGCAATTAACTTTTCGCCCACACTTTTCAATAACCTTAAATGACCAATTGATTGTTGATTAAGAAAATTGCTTCAAAATCAAATATTTACACTTGAAAAGTAAAACAATTAATTGATTACAGCATTTAATTGACCTTAACAATCAAATGTAAATTAGATCCAGAAAGTTAATTGTTAAAGTAGCAAAATCAATCAATAAAACAATCTGAACACTTTTTCACAATCAAATTAACCTTTCCAATTAATACAATGTCAAGCAATCAATATGATTAGGTGTTAACATTAAATTGTTATCTCTTTGTAAATTTAATTCAATGACAATTAACCATAAATTGTTCATCCTAAACAACCAAATTAAGTTAACCAAATTCAGGTCAAGTTTGATTAAGGCAAAAAAAGTAACACAATTAAAATTAAAACAATCGGTAATCTTAATCAATGAATTATTATTCATTCATAAACGTAGCTATTAATTACTATCAAATCAATCAGATTAAAAAGTAGCTGTGGATTGGAAATGAATTGCTAATTGTAATTAAATAACCATTGAGTACACACCTAATTCAGTAATTAGTTGATTGTCCTTCGATATATAAACTGACCGGAAGTTGATTCAATACACACCTAACAATTTAAAATCCAACAGTTAAAACATTCATCCAGTTTAATCAATGAGATTATCTTAATCACCATCGTAATCAACTGATCAACACTAATGATCATCTTTACAATTAAGCCTAACATTCAGAGTGAAATTTTCCTCTAAATTTTTAATTTGATTGTTAATCAAAATCATTTGTTTCTAAATCACGATTGTGATTTAAAATTTATATAAATGAAAAAAAAAAGATTATTATGATTAACTGATTGTATGATATTTAATATTCACAATTGCGTTAATTGTTGTTTGGCTTTTTGGTTGTATGTATTTCACAACAATTTAATTGTGATGGTTTTAAGTGTATGATCAAGGGCATGATTAATTGTTGCTGAAGATTATCTTGATTAAGTCTAATTGTTACAATTTAATACTAACCTTCAATCAATCAAATTGATGATATTTATATTTATACAAATTTGTTAATTGTGATCAATGAAAAAAAAAGTAAATCCCATCAACAATTAAGATTCAATTGTGAAAATCATCACAACAATCAAGCCACAATTATCCTTATTCAGTTTTGATTGTACAATTAACTGTAACAATTGAACAGATAATAATATCATAATTTGAAAGTATTATCAAAACCAAATAATAATCAATATTAAACCAACAATTAAGGAAACAATCAAATATAAAACTTTAAATCCCAAAAATAAACTGAAACTTGAATTAGTTACAATTGTGATTATCATTAGATTGTTAAAATTATTTGATTAAAAATCATAAAAGTTAATTGTTGAATCGATTGGTCAACCTTGTATTTACCTGTGAAAACAATTAAACCAATAAAACTGTGAATTTAAGTTAATTAATCAGGAAAATTTCCCTGATTGTTGTGATTTAAATTGTTAAACCATTTTGCTTGCGTGTGACCATATCCTTTGATAACCCAGTTAACTTAATCACAATCACAAAAACTCATCTTTCTAATCACCAACAATCAGTTAATCATCAAATTGTAATATTTAATGTTTCACTCATTTAATCAACTCAAATTTGATTCTGTTGATTACTTTAGACAACCAATTAATGTAAATACAACTTAATCATGATTAACAATCAGTTTCATTTGATTGTCTTTGGGATTGTGATGAAGTTTAAATTGTTAAATCTTTCAAGATGATTAATCCTTTACTTTTAATCAATCATTGACAATTAGATTATTAAATTGTTGGCTAAATTATTATCATACAAAAAAGACGAATTAGCCAACGAAAAAGTTGATTAACTTTTATCCATTGAGATTAATTTTTTTTTAACCTTTTAAATCAAACGAATTTAAATTTTCTGATTAACTTGCTAATTAACTTTACCATCTCTCCATTTATAATTGTCAACTAAATTGTTTTAATCGTCTAACTAATCATGTTAATAGTTTAACACGGAAGACAATCAAAAGTGTCTCAATTCCGATGAGATCGACCTAGAGAAAGTTGTAAAACAAAATCAGAATCGTAATTTAAGATTTGATTGTAACAATTAACCCATTAATCAACTGGTAAATCATTTAAATATATAATTTAAATGGTTTGGGAAATGTTTGATTGTTGTGATGTCTGTTTGATATTAATCTTCATCATCACAATCATAATCATAATTAAAATGGTCATCAACATTTTGGTTACAATTTAAAGTACAGAAAATTTTAATTACAACGTTTTGGTAAGGAAACAATTAACAATCCATT